TGTAGTTTTGTATTTTTATCGAATGAAATTTGATCGCTTTAAGGTAATCGAATACCACCACGAAATGGAAAATAATAAAAACTGGAAACGGCAATACAACATTCAATGTAAACGCCAACAGAAATCGCACACAAACGACAGGCAGACAGCCAGTCGGACAGGCAGTCAGCCAGCCAGCTGGGAAGCCGGGCAGCCAATCCAAGTAGAAATATCAAGAATATCCAACAACAACAACAAGGTATTCATTGGGTATTTTATAATGAATGACATACTCCCAAATAAGAAGAATATCAGATATCCGATCAGATATTCTCGGTGATACCCACTGACAGACACACACAGTGACACTTCGACGCAGACACACACACTCACACAAAACGCCAAATCCAGGGACTAAATGACGAATGTAAATGTTGTTGTCTGTTTGTGCAAACGACAGACGAGCAGCTTGCTGAGACCGTCGCGTAGACTTGACCGGAGTATTAATTCGCATTTCAGGTTTTATTTTTTATTATTTCGGAAATTTATGGGAGTTAAAGAGGAGTTTATTCCGTTTCAAAAGACTTCTCAGTTAACAAAAAAAAAAATGGTTACCCATTTCTTGTTGTTGCTACTCTACTCATTATCAGGACAATAAAAAACAAAACAACAAATGGTGAATGGGGATATTGATATGGTGCAACGGTAGGGAAGAAGACTTCATTCAGCAGGGCTGAATTGATGATTTCCTACAGAAACCTAAATTCAGCCAGGCTGAATTTAAGTTTTCCTATTGAAACCTTAATTCAACCAGGCTGAATTGGAGATTTCCAATAGAAACCTTAATTCAGCCAGGCTGAATTGAAGATATCCAATAGAAACCTTAATTCAGCCAGGCTGAATTGAAGTTTTCCTATGGAAATCTTAATTTAGCCAGGCTGAATTGAAGTTTTCCTATGGAAACCTTAATTCAGCCAGGCTGAATTGAAGTTTTCCTATGGAAACCTTAATTCAGCCAGGCTGAATTGAAGTTTTCCTATGGAAACCTTAATTCAGCCAGGCTGAATTGAAGTTTTCCTATGGAAACCTTAATTCAGCCAGGCTGAATTGAAGTTTTCCTATGGAAACCTTAATTCAGCCAGGCTGAATTGAAGTTTTCCTATGGAAACCTTAATTCAGCCAGGCTGAATTGAAGTTTTCCTATGGAAACCTTAATTCAGCCAGGCTGAATTGAAGTTTTCCTATGGAAACCTTAATTCAGCCAGGCTGAATTGAAGTTTTCCTATGGAAACCTTAATTCAGCCAGGCTGAATTGAAGTTTTCCTATGGAAACCTTAATTCAGCCAGGCTGAATTGAAGTTTTCCTATGGAAACCTTAATTCAGCCAGGCTGAATTGAAGTTTTCCTATGGAAACCTTAATTCAGCCAGGCTGAATTGAAGTTTTCCTATGGAAACCTTAATTCAGCCAGGCTGAATTGAAGTTTTCCTATGGAAACCTTAATTCAGCCAGGCTGAATTGAAGTTTTCCTATGGAAACCTTAATTCAGCCAGGCTGAATTGAAGTTTTCCTATGGAAACCTTAATTCAGCTGAGCTGAATTGAAGAATTTCTATGGAAACCTTAATTCAGTCCGGTTGAATTGAAGATTTCTTTCAGAAACATTAATTCAGCTGGGTTGAATTAAAGATTACATATGGGAAACCTAATTCAGCTAAGCTGAATTGAAGAATTTTTATGGAAAAAGACATATTTAGCCAGTCTAAATTATAAATTTCTTATGAATAAGTTAATTCAGCTAAGCTGAATTGCAGATTTCAAAGAGGAAACCTCATTCAGCAATGGTTTTATTGTAGTCTTTTTAAAGAAAATCCAATTCAGCTGATTTAAATTGTTGATTTCACATTGAATAGCTAATTTAGCTAAGCTGAATTGTTGGTTTCTTTTGATAAATGTTTTATAACCTAGCCATAAATTATCGCTCCTTTGAGAGCTTCTTTCATTTTTTTTTTTTTTGGTAATTTTATATCAATTTTGAATTAAGTAAACCTCCTCTAAAGAGATTTCACTCCTGATAGTCAAAAAGGAATGGCTTTGCTTTTCACTTCCTTGAAACAAATGTTGTAAAAAAATACTAAACATGATACAGCAAGATCTCAAAGTCATTATGGCTATTATTATTACCTTCATTGGTTGCTTGGATGAGTGACTGAATCTGAATGGCTGCTTTCATTCATTCGTTCGTTCTCTCAGTCTCAGTTGTGCCAATGATTAGTAGTGGTGTTATTGTTGTTTGTTGGCCACTACAACTACCCACCACTACAGCGGCAGTTACTCTGTCGGCAAAGACAAGACAAGATTCAACTACTTTGTCATGTAAAAGGATATTATTTAAGTAATTCTATGCCAACTTCATTGCAAAGCAGCAACAACAACAAGAAACCGACCATCATAATAAGGACAATGAGTGATGCTGATATTTGTTGTTGTTGCTATTGTTGTGTTGAGATGATGATAAGATGCTGAGATGACGACAATGTTATTTTATACCTTAATAAGATGAAGAAGAAGAAATATATCATTGATAATGCAGCAGCAGCAGCGACAGCAATGGCTGGCTCCGCTCTCATTTTACCTCTTTTGTCTCTGTCACTTGTTTCTCTGTTATTAGAATACTGTTATCGTTCTCGCATTCTCTGGTGTGGGGGAGGGATGGGTTGTGTGTGTGTGTGTTTTGATGTAATTACATAGCAGTAAACATGAATCAAATTGCACATGGCAAAGATAACTCTCGCTCTCTCTTTCCTTCTTGCTCTTATCACTTGCTCTTTAGAGCAGAGAAATTCCTTTACTAGTAAAGGAGGTTTTTTACTTGTTTATTTATTTATTTTTTTTCATTTTATAGAATATCTCATATGAATATTCTTTACAACATTCTACTATTTTGCATCATACACCCCATAAATACACACATATGTACATACATATATTAACTTTGAAATAAAGTCTAAATTTACAATCGGATATCAAATAACATTCATTTGAGTAATTGTAGTACATTGTAATATGGCACGAATGGTAGGCAGGTCGGCCGGCAGACGATGAAGGAGGAGGAGGAGGATTAACAAACGTATCACTGACTGGATGGCTTGGTTCTGGTGTCGATGTTATATGGCAGGCAGTGGAGAGGAGCTTTACTACACACGTTTCTATTGCCAAAGGCGTCATTAGATTGTGAAAACCCGAAGAAGGCATCAAGTATGCTCATAGACACACACACACATTTGTTACTATGACTCTTTGTCATATTAAAATAGTTTGAAATTACAGAAATTAGATATTTTCATAAATATCAATCAAATACAATGCAATATTATACTTGAGACAATGTTATTTATATAATAATAAGCAAACGATAGATAAATGTAATAATTATGACTTGAAATCCGAAGACAATGAAAAAAATATTGATTTCCCAATTCAGCTGGTCGGAATTGTAAAATTATTATTATAACTCCAATTCAGCTAAGCAAAATTTTAGATTTCCTATAAAAACCCTAATTCAGCTGGTCGAAATTTTAGAATTCCCACAGAAACCCCAATTCAGCTGATCAGAATTGTAGATTCTTTATAGAAACCCCAATTCAGCTAATCGAAATTTTAGAATTCCCACAGAAAACCCAATTCAGTTGGTCGGAATTGTAACATTATTATTAAAACCTCAATTCAGCTAAGCGGAATTATAGATTTCCGACCGAAAACCCAATTCAGCTGGTCGGCATTGTAAAATTATTATAAATAACACCAATTCAGTTGACATAACATTTTCATAATCCACATCAAAACTAATTCAGCAAGACTGCATTTAAGATATCCTATGGAAACCCAAATTTAGATAAGCGGAATTGTAGATTTCCTACAGAAAAGGCAATTCAACTGGCCGAAATTATAGAATACCTTTAAAAACTCCAAGATATCTTGAACTCAGCTGTGCTGAATTAAGGAAACCTTAATTCAGCCAGGATGAGTTGAAGATTTCCTATAGAAACCTTAATTCAGCCGGGCTGAATTGAAGTTTTCCTATGAAAACCTTAATTCAGCCAGGCTGAATTGAAGTTTTCCTATGTAAGCCTTAATTCAGCCAGGCTGAATTGAAGTTTTTTATGGAAATCTTAATTTCCATACCTTAATTAAGCCAGGCTGAATTGATGTTTTCCTATGTAAGCCTTAATTCAGCCAGGCTGAATTGAAGTTTTTTATGGAAATCTTAATTTCCATACCTTAATTAAGCCAGGCTGAATTGATGTTTTCCTATACAAGCCTTAATTCAGCCAGGCTGAAATGAAATTTTTTTTAGGAAATCTTAATTCATCCAAGCTGAATTAAAATTGTCCTATGGAAACCTTAAGTCAGCCGGGCGTAATTGAAGTTTTCCTATGGAAACCTTAATTCAGCCGGGATGAATTGAAGATTTCCTATAGAAACCTTAATTCAGCAAGGCTGAATTGAAGATTTCATATAGAAACCCTTATTCAGCCAGGCTGAATTGAAGATTTCCTATAGAAACCTTAATTCAGCCAGGCTGAATTGAAGATTTCCGATAGCAACCTTAACTCAGCCTGGCTGAATTGAAGATTTCCTATAGAAACCTTAATTCAGCCAGGCTGAATTGAAGATTTCATATAGAAACCCTTATTCAGCAAGGCTGAATTGAAGATTTCCTATAGAAACCTTAATTCAGCCAGGCTGAATTGAAGATTCCCTATAGAAACCTTAATTCTGCCAGGCTGAATTGAAGATTCCCTATAGAAACCTTAATTCAGGCTGAATTGAAGATTTCCTGTGGAAACCTTACGGTACCTTCAGAAAACCTAATTCAGCTAAGCTGAATTGAGAATTGCCCTTAAAAGAAATGTAACTCAGCTAAGCTGAATTGAAGATGTCTTATAGGAAACTCAATTATAGATTTTCCATCGATAATACAATTCAGCTAAGTTATAAATATCAAAAATTATATGCTTACCTTAATTTCATCACTGGGTAACTCCTTTTTAATTTTTACTACGGTTGGTGTGGCATTACCCTGAGTCCCCCCACTATTATTTATGGGACTCGTTGGTGAATTATTGGCACTTGCATTCAATGAAGATGTCTTTGTTGACATTTTGGTTCACTAATTTTGAACGATATTGAACGGTACTGTGCCGCGATGTTTTATTGCAGGATATTATTATATTTTTTGGTCGCACGAGAATCTAAAATTTCACTTTTATTTGAGAATTTGTTGCCCACCACAACTGAAATATATTAAAAAATTAAAATAAGGCACACACTCGGACACACACACATGAGCATTTTCTCTGAAATAGAAGAGGAACAGCCGAAGAATTTTAGTTTGTTGTTTTATTTATTTATTTTTTTTTTTTTGCTTGTAACACGATTTTATTTTTATAAACAAAGCCAGCCAAGACGGGGTGGAGAGATCAATCACAAGAGTCACAAGTTTTAAAAACAGATTCACGAGTATCCCCCCATCATACGGTGAAACACACACACCTACACTTGTATACCTCGCGCTACACACGAGCAAAACACATCAAGCAATCACTATCATCATTTCTTGTTGCTCTTCTTCACTGTTTCTTGTTGCTGGTGTTGTGGTTGTTGTTGGGTTTATTTTTTAATACATTTCGTCATCCTCCTTTTGTCATGGGGATGAGTGGTATTCTCATGTTATGGGGGGAGGGGAAGAGGAAGAACGAGAAATGCATCAACAAATGCAACTAACATTGTAGGGGGTGGTGTTGGGCCGTTTTAAGTAACAGTACACTGGCATATAATTATGTGACGTTACTCACACTCTCCCTCTCTGTCTCTTGCACGAACACACACAGTATACTCTCATAGTCGTTGTCCCCAAAAATAACAGATCTCTTGTTGTGGTATGGCAATGTTATTTTATTTTACCAAGGAGATTTTTAGAGATGGAGCCAATGAAAAAAAATTATCAGGAGAGAGAGCGAGAGATAGTCATTAGAAGAGATGGCCACACATTAATTTCACTTTTCATTGTTTAGATATTTTGTTGCATTCATTACTTAATCAATGGGGATTTCAATGCAAAAGAATTTGTGTAAATTAAGAAATAAAAAAAAAACGAAACGAAACACATGTTCATTGATCACGAGTAGTATTATTTTGATATACTATATAAATATAAATATGTATACATAATTACAGTGGTATATGAAAATGTACTGTGGTTGATAATTTTGGGGAATCATTTAAAAAAATCAGGGATAATTGTGGGAAATAATTAAAAAAAACAAGGGAAAATTAAAAAAAAATGTTCTCTAAAAAACAGAAATTAATATAAAAAATATCGATTTTTATTCTTTTTTTGCATAGGTGCGAATTAAAAAAAATCAAAAAATCTCGAGTAGTATAAGTTATGTTATTTTGTGTAACTTAAAAGTCTAGCCAAACAGGCTAGACTTTTCTATGAATATTTTTTAATAATTTTTTTCTTCAAGTATTTTTTCAAAAAAAAAATGTAAAATTTTTATGAACTTTTTAAAATATTAAAAAAAAATAAATTTAAAAATAACGATTTTATGAAGGGCTAAAAGAAATATATATTTTTCTGAACATTTTAAAATATTATTTTATAAAAAATTAATTTAAAAATAAATATTTTTGAATTAAAAAAATTCAAGGACTCTAAATATTTTTAGATTTTCAAATTATACTTTATATTTTCAAAAAATTTTCTAAATGTTTAATTTTTAACTTTTTTCGAAGACTAGAAATATTTTCCTAAGGAATTTTTCTAAAGTAATTTTTCTAAAAAAATTTTCAATGACCTGATTTTTTTTTTTGTAATATATTTTTTTATAACACTGGGTCACTGTATTTTATGCCTCGTGCTCCCCTTCTCTATTTGTGATGGGAGAGCAAAACAAAAAAAATTAATATCACTTTGTTGTTGTTGTCTGTTTTTTTATTTTGTTGTGGTGGCATTCGACGACGATTGCTTAGAATAGGTGTATCTCGTGATTTTGCGTATACGTAGTGTACGTGTGTGTGTGTGCATACTTTGGAGTTAAAGAGCGCGCGTTGTAATTCAATACTTTTTATTTTGAAAATTAAGAACATTATCTGGGGGGATATCAAATGACCAACGACGTTGGGATAAAACTGGAACCTTGGTATTTTTTGTTGTTGTTATTTTATTTCTTTGGATATATGATATGAGAAGATTGGGTCACTTTTGAAATTATTTTTATTTTTTAATTTATTCTTAAGTATATTTTATTACACATTAAAATTGTTTTTTTACATTATTTGTTTGTTTTCTTTTATTTGTATTCACTACACCATAATTTAAATTATACTTTTGCTTTTTAAAGCTTGTTGATTTTGATTTCGTTTGTATTTAAAAATAGATTTCGTTTTTTTTAATACAATTTTTTTCTTCTTGTGGATTATGAAGACATTTTTTGGGGATTTCATTTAATTTTATTAAATATAAATTTTAAGATTATTATTTTTTTTAATTTCAAACAAATAAATAATCACTTTATTTTATTATTATTATTTTTGTTTTCGATGTTTTATTCTTTGTCATTGTTTCATTTAATTTTTTTCTGTTGTTGTTTTATCTATTTTTTGTATTTATTGGTTATTTTTAAATTGATATTATATTTATAAACTGTGGATATTTTCTTTCTTCCGCTCCCAACCGACAATTTCGAAAAATATTCACCTCTTCGTTCGCTCGGTCCGGAGGAACAAATTCAAATCAAATAAATCACAACAATGAAGAATAATTGCTCGTTTGTTACGTCTTTACGCAACAAAGTCTCGCAAACGAATGCTGCCTACAACAGAGTGGCCACAGTTAATTCGAGTTCGTGCTTGCTCTTGCTCACTCTTTGCAGGAAAACAACAAAACAAAACACTGAAAACTAACGGACGGAGAGCACACACAATGACAGTGTGCTTTGTGTGCCTTGGCTGTGCCGTTGATGACTCGTGCATGCATGCAAGCAAGCAAGCTCTCGTATTATGACAATCGTTTCTCATTCGTCAAAGGTGGGTAAATGAGAGGAATGAATGTAAAATGGAATGGCAAATAAAAATTGAATTTAAACATTAAATTAAAACAGTTAACATAATTTAATATGTAAATCAAGTTAATGGTTTATATTTTATCAAATTAAATCAACTTGATTAATACACAATAAGTAATCGACAATAAGTAATGCACATTCGATACATGAATAAATAAAATAGTGAACCAGAAAGGCATAGGGCCGTGTTTACATTAAAACCGTTTTAATAAAACTGTGTGCCTTACAATACCCTTATTTACATGATTTATGTCAATAAAACGAGTAATTTAGGTGTCATTGAAGAAATAGATTAAAAAAGAAAATTATTTAATGCTTGTTTTGGTCAATTAATGGTATCTGAGTGATGTAGATGCTAACTTTAATTTTTTACCTAACACGCGGTCTGTTTCAATACTCAACACTTAAAATTAAAAAAATCAGTAAGGGGCCGTGCATTAGGGCTCTCGTGATCTCCTAATACTGCACTTGGGTATCAATTAGATTATTTGTCAAGAGGGAAATTGTTGAAAATACTTCCTTGAGAATAAATACATTTATGTATTAGAAGAAACGAAAAAATGGTCTAAAGTGACACAATAATGAAATCGATCAGGCAAAAGCAGCAGTTTGCATAAAGGTAATGTCGAAAAACTCTTGAAATGAAAGGAGAAATATATTTAGATTATCGGGGCATTCTTGCAGGTTCTGGAACAAAATATTGTGAAGTAAAAATCATATTGTTTATTTTTTGACAGTAAACAGCTGATAATCCTTATTGTTCAATTCTCTTGAATAGATGTCAAATAAAGCATACATTAGGTAATATAAGAACACACAATGAAATCGTTTCATAAAAATAAAATAATTTTTAATGATAACAATCACTGAATACAATGTTTCGATCATTACCACGGCACTTAAAATTGTTGACAATTAAAAACATTACAATTTTGTTAATGAGTCGGACGGACTATGCAAAAAAAGGAGAATTGTGAACATAAAAATATGCATTGAGATATCAGCAACAATCAAACCATTTGCATGAAAGGGGCATATGCAGCCATCAATCAAAAAAAAAAAATGTCGAGTGAAATGACTGTGTTATGCGCCATACACAAATGTATGTATATATAAATATATAAAGAGACATAAATACATATATGAGCATGGTGTATGTATCATCGGCAAAGAAATCTCATCAAAAGAACAAAAATATAATTATGGCAACATATTTTTTTTTTTTAAATTTTCCTAAAAGGTGTAAACAGATATTATGCTGGTAATGTTCGAGATATATTTTATTTTTAAAAACTATTTAAAATCGTCTCTATATATTTTTGTTATATTCTTTTCTCTATTTGCTAATAGTTTATTTTTACCGCAAGAATCTACTAATTTTTACTGCAGTTCGTCATCATAAAAGAAAAGTTTTTATCGTAGTGAAAAATTTTACATTTTTAATATTTTTTTACTAATAAACCCACTGTGATAATAAAAAAGATTTTTTGAGACTGGCTTACAAATAAAAAATGGTTTATTATTATTTTAGTTATACTATACAATAATGTAATATTTACATAATTGTGCTAAAGTAAGATAGATTTTTTGGGGCTTGCTTAAAAATATATAAAAACTATTTTTCTTTTAATATTTTTTATAAATAAAAATAATTAATATTAATAAATAATAATAATATTAATAATTTATATTTACTTTAAAAAAATTATTTTGTAATTTTTTTACTAATTTACCCCACTGTACTAAAATAAGAGATATTTTGCATTAGATTATATATAAAAAATTAATAATTTATATTTATATATAATTTATATATATAATAATTTATATTTATATTTAATATTTTGTATTACTAGATTCTATTTTAAAAAAGAAATTAATTTAAATTGCCTTTAAATTCCCATTTTCCCTCATTCTTTGGCGGTTACACATACATTTTTATCGATAACATCACAATCGGTTGTTTGCTTTAATCAACAGCTGAGAGAAAAACCCACACAAACGATTGATATGACCCTACTCCAATAAAATTTTCGATTTAATGATCCCTAACAATTTAATTTCTTTGTTTTGTTTTAATTCTTAAATTTTATCGCTTACTATGACATTCTATTAGGAACAAGAAGAAGAATTTATAATAGTGTGCGTGTGTAATTATAATTATAATAGTTATAACGCCGTCAAAACTTTAAGAAGCGGCATTGTAATTAAAAGGAACGGTACGGTAGTTGAAAAAAAACTATTTTTTATAACTAGAGAAATTCACATTAAAAACTATTAAAGAAAATGTCCAAAATAACCCGCAAAACTTTAGATTTAAAACAGGTAATTTGAATACAATTTAAAATCAAATACCCTCAAAAATTGAATTAACTACTTGTTGTTTTCGGGCTCTTCCAGTTTATGTTACGTCAAGAAGTCCTCAAGCTATATCGTGAAATATTTCGTACCATCAAACAGGTGCCGGACGCCAGTAGCCAATATGAGTTGCGCTCCTGGGCTAGGCATGATTTTCGCACCAATCAACATCAAACCGATGAGGTGGCCATTAAAATGCTCATACAGGCGGGAAGACGTAGTCTGACAGAGTTACAAACAAGTTTACGGTTGAGTGGTGTGACCGCCAGCCATGCGAACTCTACTGCTCCTCCTGCATCGAGCAAAGAGAAGAAATAAAGAATTGTTGTTTGTTTTTATTTAAGGATTTGTTGTTTCTTTATTGTAGAAAAAAAAAATTCCTCTTCTCCTTTAGGAAAAACTATTCTCAGGGCGCTTTTTTCTGTAGAAAAATGTGTTAAGGTTATTTTTTTAAATTAAAATTAATTTAATGGTTGTTGTTTAATCTATTTTATTTAAAATAATCATTTTGATTCGTTTCAGCATTTGTTTGTATTTTTTTCAATAATTTAAACTACTAAAGCTTAGGGGTTTTTTTCCAATTATTGCTATTCAATATAAAGTCTGTTATTTTTTTGTTGCATATTTTTTTCGTTTTTGTGATGTATATTAGTGTGTGTGTGTTTGTATCCTTTCTAAAATAAATATCTTATTAAACTTAACCACAGCACCTTCGTAACGGCCAATAGAAACAGTATGGAACCAATCCCGGTGGCAATCAATGATATCACATCTCTTTTGGCCTTTTCGCTAATACGATTGACTAGAAAACTATTGACAATGGTATTAACAATTGCATTACCATCGAAGCCAAAACAGGGTATGGCATTGATCAGGGCCAAACCCAAACTAAATACAATATTGTATTTCAGGAACAATATGCCATTGTCACACCATTTGGGGCTGATGTACTCATGTTTGGGTACAAATTGTGAAATGCGTATGCTGCGTGTCACATCCAGCGGGTGGCCCATATAGATGACATTCTTTAGCGGCGGCGGGACATCTTCCACCTTCAATGATTGCCTCTTAAAAACCATTATAGTGGTGGTGTTCTTCAGCAATGGCCTTAGACAAAATCCCCTTTCACACACACCGCCGGTGGCTGCACAATAACCATACGCGTCTTCCATGGTGCGCCGTACATCGAGACACACGTGTTGTGGTATCTCCACGGGTGCATCATTATTGAAATCATCAATGTATTCGAAACAACCCAGCTTGGCATTACTGCCACAACATTGCAGCGTACCATCGGAACTGTGATGGGCTATTTCAATACTCTCATCATTTAGACGGATAAAATCCGATGACACACAAAAGCCTGGAAAATGCAATGAATTCACCAGACAACTATACCATGTATCCTCATTGTAAACGGGACAATCATTAATGTGGGTAATGACATTACCCTCAACCAGGCCGCGATCACCTTTTGCCTTTAGCGGAGATTGGGCGCTGACATGGGTAATAATCACATTTTTATTCAGCGTATAGAGGGGAGAGGCCATAAAACCCATTGTGGAGAGCAGCAAATAGCAAATGCCAGCAAAAACAAAATTATGCCATATGCCGGCACAGAGGATGCGTAATTTTTTCAACCACTTCAAGGCGTTCAAATGATCGGTGGATATTTCCGTATAGGCCACGGGTAAACAGAAATATAACTAAAAAGTAAAAAAAATATATATATCATCGGGTCTTCTAGAAATTGCTTCTCAATTGCGCTTACATGAAACCCAAATCCTGTCACCGGTATATCTTCCATTACGGCAGCCAGGGCATGACCCAATTCATGTATCACCGTTGATATCAACAGGGTGGCTACATAGTAACCGATTTCCTCCAGTGGCAAATTTACACCAGGCAGCAATATTTCCACATTTATATTTTGGGTTTTCAGGGCATTCGATGTTGCTGCCGTTCCCAAATTACTAACCTCCGACTGTTGCGTAGAACCACCAAATATGGTAATAAACAGCAAAATGATGCCAACCGGCACCAATGACAGTGCAACCAGTACACCAATTGTAAATGACTTATTAATAAGTTGCCGGCAACAATTGCCGCTGTTGTTGCCCAGGCGTAGCACCCAACGATTAAAGGCGGTGGTGTGCCATTTTAGATGGAAAATGCCAACGGTGAGACCGGTATTGGTGAGAAATGCCTCATAGGGATAATGCATGCAGCTCTAAAAAGTATATTATTAAAAAAAATAGGTTCCAAGTTGTCTTCTCCGATTCTACTTACCTTAAAAAAGCGATCAAAGAATAACAAAACACCATATATGGCAGTTAGGACACCAAAAAATATCCAAGGATCCATAATTCCATATTTAATACCACCAGCAATTGTTGAACATGTTCTTGTTTGCACGCACCAACAAACTGATTATTGTTGCTGCATTAATTTTTTGTTTAATTATTTGTTTTAATGCATTTGTTTATAGTGGTTTCTCGGAATTTTGTGCGTCGTCTGGCTGCAGATGGCCAAGAAGGCCGATAACTTTTAATATCAAACGATAAATGGCATCGATAACAATCAAATTGCTAATGTCACTAGTTCACTGGTTTATTTTGTGAACAATTGCAGACAAACACGCTGCACTGCTGCTCATACGTTTGTATCAACTGGAGAGGTGTTTGGGAGCAGTGTAATTTTGTTCTTTTGTCTTGAAAAAGAAAATGTTTATTTAAATTATTCCATTGGACAACAACATGGACGAACTACAGAAACTAGAACATTTATCCCTGGTGTCCAAATTGTGCACAGAATTGGACAACCATTTGGGCATTAACGATAAGGATTTGGCCGAATTTATTATAGAACTCGAATCAAAGAACCCCACATTTGAGGGATTCCGCAAGGCATTGGTGGAGAATGGCGCCGAATTCCCAGACTCATTGATTTCCAATCTCCAGAGAATTATCAAACTAATGAAACCCACTGGAACAAATGGCGACAAATCTTCTGCCGGAGGAGCTGCCGAAACGACGGGCAACAAATCTTCAAAAACCGAACAACTTGCCATGATGTTTCCTGGCCTGGCAATGGCCAATGATAAATTCAGTAAAGTCGATGCACCAGATTCCAGCTCAAACTCCGAAAGTGACAGCGAGGTGGATGAGAAAAAGCCCGAGAAAAAAGATATCAAAAAGAAAATCAAAGAAGAGGACATGAAAGCTGTCGATGATGCCATGTTGGAGTTGGAAGCATTGGCTCCTGGATTTGCCAGCAAACCCGAAATTAAAGATATAAAAAAGAAAGTGGAAAAAAGATCACGTTCCCGATCAAGGTCAAGAGAAAAACATCGGGAGAGGGAACGGAAAAGGGAGCGAAGTCGGGAACGTGTTACAAAAGATTCGGACAGTTCACGGAACAGAGATAAAGATCGTCATAGAGACCGAGAACGTGATCGCGATCGACGTTCCAGATCTAGATCTCGCCATCGTGGGGAACGCAAAAGATCACGTTCCCGGTCCAGGGAAAGCAGTCGCAGACATCGCCGTTCAAGATCACGTTCACGCGACAGACGTCGACGTTCAAGATCACGATCAAAGGACAGATCCCGTCATCACAAACGATCTAGGTCACGTGAAAGTAAACGTGAAAAAATGCCACCACCAGCACCCATGCCAGACGATCCGGAACCTGGTAAAATCTATACCGGCAAAGTGGCCAACATTGTCCCCTTTGGCTGTTTCGTTCAGCTGTTTGGTTTGAAGAAACGCTGGGAGGGTTTGGTACACATATCCCAATTGCGTTCTGAGGGTCGTGTCACGGATGTCACCGAAGTGGTGAATCGTAACTCGACGGTCAAGGTAAAAGTTATGTCCATAACTGGCCAAAAAGTATCGTTGTCAATGAAAGAAGTGGATCAAGAAACGGGTCAAGATTTAAATCCTCTTTCCCATGCTCCGCCGCCAGAAAGCGAGCTGAAAGATCGCAATCCCGATAGGCCATTTGGTGGTGGTACATCCCTTCTAAATTTACAAGGTGGAGCCGATAACGACGAGAGCGATTCCCGCAAACGTGTTACACGTATCTCCAGTCCCGAACGATGGGAAATCAAACAGATGATTAGTTCAGGTGTCTTGGATCGCAGTGAATTGCCAGACTTTGATGAAGAAACTGGTCTGGTTCATAAAGATGAGGACGACGAAGAAGATATTGAAATTGAAATCGTAGAAGAGGAACCACCATTCCTGGCTGGGCATGGTCGTGCTCTACACGATCTATCACCAGTCCGCATTGTAAAGAATCCGGATGGTTCATTGGCCCAGGCAGCTATGATGCAATCGGCTCTCTCCAAGGAACGTAGGGAACAGAAAATGTTACAAAGGGAACAGGACATGGACGCTGTGCCCACGGGGTTAAGTAAAAACTGGATAGATCCTCTGCCAGACGAAGATTCAAGTCGTACCCTGGCCGCAAATGTAAGAGGTATGGGTGCAGCACCCATGGAGGTTCCCGAATGGAAGAAACACGTAATTGGGGGTAAGAAGTCATCGTTTGGTAAGAAAACCGATATGTCATTGGTGGAACAAAGAAAATCCCTGCCCATATACAAGCTGCGCGATGATCTGATCAAAGCTGTAACAGATAATCAAATTTTGATTGTCATTGGTGAGACGGGTTCGGGAAAAACGACGCAAATCACCCAGTACTTGGCCGAATGTGGTTTTACAAATCGTGGAAAAATCGGCTGTACACAACCACGTCGTGTTGCTGCCATGTCGGTGGCAAAGCGTGTGGCCGAAGAATTCGGTTGTCGTCTGGGCCAAGAGGTGGGCTATACCATCCGTTTTGAGGATTGCACCAGTCCCGAGACGGTCATAAAATACATGACGGACGGTATGTTGTTGCGTGAGTGTCTCATCGAAGCAGATTTGAAATCATATTCCGTGATTATGTTGGACGAAGCCCATGAGCGTACCATACACACAGATGTCCTGTTTGGTTTGTTAAAAACGGCCGTACAAAAACGTCCCGAATTGAAGTTAATTGTGACCTCTGCCACTTTGGATGCTGTCAAATTCTCACAATATTTCTTTGAGGCTCCAATTTTCACCATACCTGGTCGTACCTTCCCCGTAGAGGTTTTGTATACCAAAGAGCCGGAGACCGATTATTTGGATGCCTCCTTGATTACCGTTATGCAAATTCATTTGAGAGAACCACCTGGCGATATTTTACTCTTCTTAACGGGTCAAGAGGAGATCGATACAGCTTGTGAAATTCTATATGAACGTATGAAAAGTTTGGGACCCGATGTACCAGAATTAATTATTCTCCCCGTATACTCAGCATTGCCCTCGGAAATGCAGACAAGGATTTTTGATCCAGCACCGCCGGGTAGTCGTAAGGTTGTAATTGCCACAAATATTGCCGAGACATCGCTGACCATTGATGGTATCTTTTATGTGGTGGATCCGGGATTTGTGAAGCAGAAGGTGTATAACTCGAAGACGGGCATGGATTCTTTGGTAGTAACACCTATATCGCAGGTAAGGAGATTTTGTTTTTTATTAGATTTTGAGGATATTTTTAACCAATTTGTTTTTGTGTTTTGTTTTTTAGGCCGCCGCCAAACAACGTGCCGGACGCGCTGGTCGTACAGGTCCTGGAAAATGCTATCGCCTCTATACGGAACGTGCTTATCGCGATGAAATGCTGCCAACTCCCGTGCCGGAAATTCAACGTACCAATTTGGCCACCACTGTGCTGCAATTGAAAACCATGGGCATTAATGATCTGCTACATTTCGATTTCATGGATGCCCCACCCGTCGAATCTCTGGTCATGGCTCTGGAGCAATTGCATTCCCTATCGGCTTTAGATGATGAAGGTCTGTTGACACGACTGGGACGGCGTATGGCTGAATTCCCATTGGAACCAAATCTCTCGAAAATGCTGATTATGTCGGTGGCCCTACAATGTTCCGATGAAATTCTAACAATCGTATCGATGTTAAGTGTTCAAAATGTCTTCTATCGTCCGAAGGACAAACAAGCCTTGGCCGATCAAAAGAAAGCCAAATTCAATCAAATCGAAGGTGACCACTTGACCCTACTGGCCGTCTATAACAGTTGGAAAAATAATAAATTTTCCAATGCCTGGTGTTATGAGAATTTCGTACAGATTCGTACGCTCAAGCGATCACAAGATGTCCGTAAACAATTGTTGGGTATTATGGATCGTCACAAATTGGATGTGGTATCAGCTGGCAAGAATTCGGTACGCATCCAAAAAGCCATATGTTCGGGTTTCTTTCGTAATGCTGCCAAAAAAGATCCCCAAGAAGGTTATCGCACTTTGGTCGACTCCCAGGTGGTGTATATTCATCCTTCCAGCGCTCTCTTTAATCGTCAACCCGAATGGGTTATATACCATGAATTGGTACAAACCACAAAGGAATATATGCGTGAGGTAACCACAATCGATCCGAAATGGTTAGTTGAATTTGCCCCGTCCTTCTTTAGATTCTCTGATCCAACGAAGTTGAGTAAATTTAAGAAGAATCAAAGACTTGAACCGTTGTACAATAAATACGAAGAGCCAAATGCATGGCGTATTTCCCGTGTGCGAAGAAGAAGAAATTAAAATAGTTTTTAAGGTTAATTTTAAGTTCACTTAAGTTACTGTTTATTTTCTATAAATTATGTAGCTATTTTAATATTATTTAAGCTGGAAATTTTGAGGACAAAAAATACACACGATGAACGTATTTTGAAATTGTTTAAAAATAGTTTTAATATATACTTTTTCACTCATTCAATTACTAATTTTACAAAATACCATGCAATGTAACCCAATAGAAAAAAAAGGAATTATAAACATATAACCTATACCTTCCTTGCAAATGTATTTGGAAAAAATTAAACTTTGTCTTGGCGGTAATAGTATAAATAAATCACAGTGTCGTGTAAAGGGATCATAATGACATTTAGGATGTACGTGACCGTTATAAAATGGACAATGCCTACTAATGTTCCATTCACACACAGGTCATATTTGGTTTACTCAAAACGACTGTATAAAAATTTCCCGAAACTGGATATCAGCTGCTTTTAAACATTGCTGTCAGAATCAGTTATTGGTTGATGTTAAAATTGGTTTTGATGTCAAAGTGCATTATTGTGAATTGACTCCCATTATAAAAACGTAAACAAAGTCGAAATTTTTGACATTATATTGAGAAAAACATATGTTTTTCGATTTCGATTGCTACCTTGGTGACCTTATTAATAGATCTTGGGCCTATATATAAGCAATAAGATATCAGCTGTTTCTAAACTTTGCTGTCAAAATCTATTATTGTGAATAGAATTCCATCATGCAAAAGGTAAATAACTTTAAAAAACAGCCTTGAGAAAAACAGCTGATTTTCGCTTGCTGGATGATCTTATTAATAGACCTTGGGTCATACCAAGGCCTATAAATAAATTCGTGCAAGGGAGACAGCTGGATATCAGCTGCTTCTAAATTTTGCTGTCAAAATGTATTGTGAATAGAATTCCATTATGAATACGTAAACAATGTCTAAATTTTTGACATTAGGCTTGAGAAAAAAAGCTGATTTTCCCTTGCTGGATGACCTTATTAATATATTTTGTCCCCGATTCGACCAACTACTGTGTGATTTGGATAGTTTTACACAAAATCGTTTATCTAATTACTAAAATTCGATTAAATGTTATAGCTTCGATCAGATCATCGCAAAGTTTGTAAATGGGCAGGGATTTTATTTTTTTCACCAATGACATATCGGTTTTCATAACCAACTTGCCTCTACGCTTCTTGACAGAGCCGATTGCAAAATAGCTCCCTGGGCTAATGAACCATCCGGTTTTTTTATAATATGCATTGGCAATAGATGGTATAGACCATGGTCATACTCTTCCAATTTCAATATGTTTTTCGTCATCCTTTTGTATCAGACCAAGGCCTATAAAAAATGTCCTATCTAGGGAGACTGGGGAGATTAGCTGTCACTCAAGTTTGCTATCAAAATCCATTATTGTGAATTGACTTCCATTATTAAAACGTAAAAAATGAGCAAATTTTTAACATAAGACTTGAGAAAGGTAGCTGTTTTTCTATTCTATATAGGCAACTTAACCGGGTCTAGAATAACGTGTGACATGTTAGTTTTGAAATCGGTTCAGATTTAGCTAAAACTCCCATATATATAATTTCGTTCGATTTTCCGATTGACAAGAAATTTACCATAGGGCTAGGTTTAGACTACTAAATCCACTCGATCTCAAATGTCAATTCCATTGCATATACGTCACGTTATAGTAAGTTTACATTTAACCGGATTTCGTTAACCCAGTGGGTTTCAATTGTCATTTCCTTTGCATATATGCATAAATATACGGTAAAAAGTTCTAATGTACGTTAATCCTGTTCACAAATACATTGGATTATATTTGACGTATAAGCAATGGAATTGACATTTGAGATCAAGTGGATTTCGTAAATCTAAACGTACCTTAGCATACTGACTTGAGTTGCGAATGACATGTGTCAAATTTAATAAATTCGGTTCAGATAGATATATAACTTCGATATACAAAATTAAGGTCTGTTCCCGTACTACAAGAATCTACTATTTTTACTACGATAACAATTATTCCTTTATGATATCGAAGAAAATAGTAAAATCTAGTAGATTTTTGCAGTACGGGAACATACCATAAGTTTATTCTATAACCTCAAAATTATAAATATCATGATCCAATAAACAGGTCCTGTCAGAAGCAATCGTTATCAACAATTTTGGATTAAATCCCCCATCAAACTGTTGGTTTACATTTTCACACAATTAAGTAAAAATTGAAAGCATTTTGAGAGCTCGGGTGAAATAATCTGGCCTTATTATTGGATCTTCATTAAAAAATCTGGTTATTTGATTATAATAATACCAATATTCCCCTTTACAACGGCCTTCGGTTTTACAAAATGTCAAAATCGACGAAAAAAATCCTCTGAAAAAATACCGATTACTCCACACACACGGCAATGGGTAATCACAATTCGGCCAACACTATCAGAGGCACTTTAATTCTTTTTTTATTTTACATTCAAGCAGCACGAAGAGCAACGGACGAATCCGTCGAATCAGTCAGTCCCACAGCCATTCATTATACATAAGGGAAAAATTCTGAAAAAAAGGAAGTGTAGCAGTTAACATTTTTTTTGTTAAGTTCACAAAAATATATTTAACGAAACGAAAAAATGCAAAGAATTGTGATAAAAGTGTTTTGAAAAAGAAACAGCAACAACAAAAAATGGTAGAAGGCAAAGCTACAGAAGCCTCCGCCACCAACAAGCGGCATCAAACATCTTCGTGTACCTTCGAATAAACGGGGGATATATAGAATAGAAATTCCACAATAAGGAAGAAGAGATCAAAGCAGCAGCGGCGGCGGTAGCAGCAGCAGAGCAGTAGCGGGACATTAGAAGGGGAGGCGCATACATTAAATTGGTAGTGTCCATCCACAAGGAAGGAAGGTAAGGAGAGGTACATTGAATTTTCCGAATTTTGGAGATATACCACCACTAAGCGGAAACATATTCTCCTCGTTCGTGGTGTTAAAATATTCCAGTCTTCGTTTTATGTTTTCTGGCATAAAAAATGCTACAACAAATTAGAGCTGTAATTTTACAGAGTAATCGATTGACGATGACAAAATAATCGTTTATTTTTTTCCATCGTCTCTTCAATGGTTACTTCGACTGGTGTAGAACATAAATGGTAGAAAAAAGGTAATAATGCGAAGGGAACATATTGTAGAAAAGTAATAGAATATGATAAAAATGAAAGGGAAGGAGAAGTAGTAATAAAAACTTAATGCAAAATGGAATGTGATAAGCCAGGTCTCATCAGGTTTTATTAATGGCACAGTGAAACCATTTAAGAAATACCATCATTCCTATTAATAACCCCCTTTTTTTCTTTGCTATGTATGTTCTCTTTACAGATTCTATACACTTGGTTTGGTGACCGACCAACGAAGGCAGGCTGGCTGGCAAGCAGAACAAATCACAAGCTTTAGTATAGAGTGGATCTTAAATTAATTTTTTTTCTTTAAGATTCCACAAAAAAGAAATTTTATTTTTTATATTAACATAAAAAAGGGAAATAAACAATTCTTTACGTCCACAACCATCATGGTCTCTACAAGGCAAATGTCGACAGGCAGCAATGGTAGTAGTTCGACTGTTAATATGCCCTCCTCTATGGAGGAACTAAATTGTCTGCGTCCAGTTGTTACCAGACAATCAAATACTACTAACAATGTTAGTAATATTAATATCCCATTACTAACATCGGCGGCGGCGTCATCATCGTCATCAGCAGTTGGAATATCTAATGGCATTGCATCAACCTCGACCAGTGCTCGACAAACGCAGGCGTTTAAATTTAATTCCAATACAACTGGTTCTAATGTAATAACGACGACGTCACATCTACAACAGCAGCCGAACAGTAGTGTTGTTGGCGATCAACAATCGTCGCCAATCGCAGCAAAAAATTTACTAGATTTGCCCGAAGATGTTTTATATACAATATTATCATATGTTGGATATAAAAAAATTGGTCAATTGCGTGTGGTGAGTACCGATCAGATAAGGATCGCTTTATAATCTATTAATTTATTTTATTGTATACCGTAGAATATATATAGGAAAAAATTTGTTAATATTGTAACGATTTTAACTGTAGATCCGATCGTCACAAAATTTGACCCGGGCAAACGAAATGAGTTTAGGATAAAGTGTATCAAGTTTCCTAAGGATCGGTTTAGATTTAGATACAAACTTTCTTCCAATTCCAATAAAGATATAGATATGTGTGTATGTCGACTCGAAAATATGGCACAGGCAACCGGATTTCGGTCTAGAATGACATGTTGCTAATTTCCCATAAATCTGCTCAGATTTACATATAGCTACAAAATTAACTAAAGAAAGAAATATGTAAACTTTGGTAAAAAAATCGTTTAGATTTAGGTATATCTCCCATATGAAAATTGGTCGAATTTTAAGAAAATTAACTACCAATGACGCCAGGTCCGTCGGATCGATATGAAATTTTGCACATGACATTGAGTCTTGAATGACGTATACCAAGTTTGCTTTAAATTCGTTCAAATTTAGATATAGCTTCCATACAAAATTTCATCCGATTTCCGGTATATAGAGCACCAACGACGCTAGATCTCTCCAATCGACACGAAAGTAAAAACAGATTACCAAATTAACTCCAGAAGGACTCCAGGACATGTCAACTTTGGTTCAAATCGGTTCACATTTTATTATAGCTCCCATATACAACTTCGACCGATTTGTGGTAAATGGCGCACCAAAGATGGTACGTCTGACCGATCGTTACGAAATTTTGTATAGACTATCTAATTAAGTTCACAAAGACGCATACCAAGTTTGTTTTAAATCGGCCGATTCTATATAAATGGTTTACTAAAGACTCCAAGTCTGTCCGATCGACACAAAATTTAAAATTGGCTATCTATTTAAGTACACAAGGACGTAAACCAAGTTTGCTTTAAATCGGATAAAATTTAGCTATAGCTCCCACATAAAAATTTCATTCGAAGTACTTCTAGAAGGTTGATTTTTCTTGCAAGCTTCATACATTCATTCTATGATTCCCTCCCGCGCCCAACCAAAACTTGTTTTGTCGACAAAAATGTATTCTGATTTTTTTCTCATTATCTGTTCTCTCCCTTTTTTCTATGTCCTTTGTGTTTATCATTCTGTTGTATCCATATAATTTTTTTTTCGAAAGCAAAAAATAATAAAACTGAATTTGATATTTGTCTGTTGTGTTTCTTCGGTTATTTGATATCTTGAGATATGCACATAGCAACAACAACATTTCACACAGTAGCATTGTACAGATTTTTGCATAAAGGGGGGACATCGTCGTATTCCATAATTCCCAAAACTACATCGAATATAAAAATGCAAAAAAGTTATAGACCACCCCACCCCTGAAAGGTAATTTCCTTCACATGAAAAGGGGAATTTTTCTTAAAAATATAAATAGTTCGTAATCTACTTAAGAGCAACGAATTAGATTTTTTGGTTTATTTTTTTTAATAACCCTTAAAATTAATATTGTTTTTTCTTCTTCTTAACAGGTCTCCCACAAAATGAACAATGTTTGCATGCATATGTTAAATTCAACATTTTCGAAATTGATTACGAAAACCTATAATCGTTTTCAGGCCATTAAGGCCAATATGCCGCGTAGAGAATCGGCCAGACGTAATCATCCGCTGGCCTGTGAATGTGATATCATTGAGACATGTTATATGCGATTATCGCTATTGCAAATGACATTTGGCAAACATATCGAACGTGGTCATTGTTGTTTCTTTCCCGGAGCTGTAAGTGTGAACCACAATTTCAATATTTTTTTCCAAATAAATTCTATTTTTTCAATTTTTTTGCTTTTCCATAAGATACTCGATGAGGTGTATACAATTTTAAATTACATTAAAAATACACCATGCCTGGAGAGACCATATCGTGTAACAGATGAACTGTTTGATTTGTCAACAATGGCCATGGAATATTTTAGGGATCGTATAGAGCCGACATTGCCGGGCATTGCATATTTCAATAAGGAATTTTTTAAATTACCCACAACAACGAAAAGATGTAGGTTCCATTTCATTTTAAAACTGAATTTATAAAATCTGTAATATTTGTTTTCTTTTTTTACAGCTTTGGTTATAGCCCCCGATTTAAGCGATAATTCCTCCAGTCTACCATCACCACCCCAGAGTAATATGGTATTGCGTAAGGGTATACGAAAAATTAAACAAGGCATGAAAATCTATAATAATCAATTATCGGTTTTGCGCAATGAATTGCGTACATGCAAGCGAAAATCCGCCGAGCAGGGTAAACAAATTGCCGAACAGCAAAAGCTGATGGCCGAACAGCGTAAACAGACATTGGAATATGCCAATCGTTTGGATGAGAATGACAAGAAAAATGAAGAAATGGCACGAAAATTTTCCACTTTATTACAGGTAAGAAATTGAAGGCACCCACCCTCTCCCCGGGTTGTGGTCACAAAAGAGACATATTTTTTATATATAACCTCAAACATAAGGTGAGGTGTTGTACGATATAGCTTTGAAATCATGCACACTCATTGCTACGACTACTAGGATGTTTGGTATTGAAAATGCTATAAAGCGGCACACATTTCACTTTTTAGGTCAGTCCCCATACAAAACGCCGCTAAAATTTCGGAATATTAGAGAGTTTGGCCTCAATTTTCAACGAAATTAGCTGTAATTTGATATTTTGAGTTCTCATTGGCTACCAAATATATATCTATACAAGTTCAGTTTTTAGGTTAGTCCCCATACAACTGCACGTCCAATTTTTCCGATTTTGAGGTTTATAGGCAACTTTTTCAACCGAATTGGTTGTAATTTGATATTTTGGAGGTTCTAGGCGCATTTTTCAACCTCAAGTTTCTGTAATTTGGTATTTCGTTTTCTCCTGACAGCCCCCATATAAAATATCGGATCGACTTTAGGGATTTCAAAATGTCCATCTCATATTGGAAAATTTCGACTCCATTTCTAATCCATTTTTTCTCTCCATCTCTCTTTTAAAGGAACTCAACAAATGTAAAACCGAACTGCAATATTGGCGTTCCAAAAGTCCGGCCATACCCACATGTGCATCATGTGGCCAAAAAGTAACAACGCCCACTCTGCCCCCAGAGGATTATCAGGCTCTCATCAATCAGGGCGTTAAACCCGAAGACATTATACTTAATCTTAAGGATAACGATGCTGATAACGAAAGTGATTTAAGCATGAACGACAGTGGCTGTAATAATTTATCATTAAGCAATGAGTTTGCCCTACCCGATGAAATGACCACAGCAAAATTATTGGCAGTAAATACGGCCTCTAGGAATCAAATGAAACGTCAATATTATCAAATGAATAGCCTATCACCACCACCGACGACGGCCGGCTGTAACAATTCGTGTAACTCGTATAACGAGCAGCAACTGCAGCATCATTTGGCCGAATTTGTAGATTGTAATGAGGGGGCCTCGACTAGTTCAAGTGCTTTCATTGCAACTGGTAATGGCGGCGGTAGTGGTGGTGGTACTGGCTATTCCACACGTATGTTTTATGGCGGAGCCGCAAATGAAAATGGCCAACCACAAATGCCACACCACAAAAGTGTCATTGTCTCGCCACAATCTCAAAGAATACAAACTCCGCCAGCCTCCGTTGTGGAAAATCCAAACCACCACCACCAGCCTAAGGTGTGTGACGACAGTAACACCCTCCCGGCACAGAACAGTAACGATAGGGCCGTCGATGATGTTAATAGCCTTATGTCCATTTCATCTCATGAAACCAAGAAAGCACGTAGAGTACAAAAAACTGCTAGGTGTGCAGCAAACGGATCTAGTAGTAGTGGTAAACGCAAATAATAATAAAAACAATTCTATTTGTAATCATATTGATACAAAAAAGAAAAACGACAACAAACCAACCACAACAAATCAATTCAATTTTCAAAAAATAAATTTAAAAACAAAAACGAAAAGGAAAAAATCAACAATACAATTTTTAAGAATGCCCCTAATTTTAGTCTTATATAATATTATATATATACATACACACTCTTACATACATACATATTTATACATTTAAATGTATGGCGACGAAAAGAAAGAAAAATAAAAAAAAAATATTTGATAATATATTTTTAAAAAGATCAAACACACACAAACAAATGGAAGTTATTCTCAAACCAACCAACAGCAACTCAGAAAAAATTTAAGTGATCAACTTACACACATATACACATAATAACACATACATATATAAAAGATATACTGCTATATGTTGTAAACTTACAATAGAAACCCCTCTACCCCCCAGAAAAAAATCAAACACAATAGTAAAACACAACATTATTTTCAAATTTCCACTTTGAAAATAATTCACACACCCACACACACATATACTTTAGTATAATACTAAAGTTTTATTTGTTATTATTTTATAACATTTAACTCAGCAAAAAAAAAACAACTTCAGAAGAAGTTTTGTTTTAATTTTCAGCCACAAAATAAAAATAAAACAAAAAATTGTTAATTTCTATTTTTTCTATAATAGAAATTACATGCAAAAAAATGATAATAAAAAAACTATATCAAACAACACACATGTAAAAATGTTTGGCGTTTTTAATGAGAAGGCAAAGCAAGTCTGAAATTCCAACGTTTACCAAGTTGAGTGTCACCTTACGTTTCTTTGCTGAAGGGCGTGGATTTAATAAAATATTTTTAAGGACCCTTTATAGGCGTGGATTTTTAAACAATATTTTTTAAGGACTGTCTATAGGCCTGGATTATTAAAAAATATTTTTTAAGGATTTTTAAAACAAATTCTTTAAGGACCCTCGTGGAATAAAAAAAAAAATTTAAGTATTCAATAGGCGTGAATTTTTAAAAAAATATATTTTTAAGGACTTGAGCTATTTTTTTTAAATATTTTATTTTTAAATTTTTATATTTTATTCCTCGAAGAAAAAAACTATGGAATGAAAATGCTCCACTGTAGTGTTTTGTTAAAAAGTATTGACAACAACTAAACATCACATGTATATATACAAATGTGTCTATGCACGTATGTATGTCTATATATGTATGCGCACCTGACTTGGTTACTCGTGTTTAAATTGTTCATATAGGATTTGTTGTTCTTTATTTTTTTTTTTGTATGCAACATTATGTATGATGTATGGTAAGAAATGATTTACTATGAACTATTCCAAACATTTGTTGCGTAAATGAAAAAAAAACATTAGGTGAGTATGTGGGAAATTTTTGTGAGCAAATATTTAACAAATATTGTTGACAATTTTGTCGGAGACATATCGTAAAATTTTGTGTAGAACATTTTTTCCATTGATACCAACAACCTAAAAGGAAGTTTTTATTGAGAAATTGTGCAAAATGAAAAATGATCGAAACTATACAAAATTATTGCTATGGCAAATTTCAACTGTAATATTTATACGAATAAACAGATATATACCGATATCTTGTTGGTGCGGACCCATAGTAAAATTTTGTATAGAACATTTTTTCCATTGACATCAACCATTGAAAATTAAGTTTAAATTGATAAATTGGTCAAATTGGAAAATGCTCCAAAATAAAATCAAAATATTTTAGGGAAACAATTTGTTACAGAAATTTTGATAGGAATGAACTATATATGTCTATATCTTGTAGGCGAGGACCCATAGTAAAATTTTGTATAGAATATTTTTTCCGTTGACATCAACCACCTAAAATGAAGTTTCCATTAAGAAATTGGGCAAAATGGAAAATGGTCAAAATTAGACAAAATATTGTTTTAGGCAAATTTTAAGTGCAATACTTAGGGAATAAACTAATATATACCGATATCTTGTTGGTGAGGACCCATAGTAAAATTTTGTATAGATTATTTTTTCCATTGACATCAACCACCTAAATTGAAGTTTAAATTTAGAAATGGGGCAAAATGGAAAATGGTCGAATTAGACAAAATGTGTTGTAGGTAAATTTTAAACGTAATTTTTATGGGAATTTGCTAATTTATACCGATATCTTGTTGGTGGGGTCCCATAGTAAAATTTGATAAAGAATATTTTTTCCATTCACATCAACCACCAAAAATGAAGTTTTCATTGAGAAATTGCGCAAAATGGAAAATTATCCAAAATAAAATCGAAATATTTTAGAGAAACAATTTGTTACACAAATTTTGATAGGAATGAACTATATATGTTTATATCTTGTAGGCGAGGACCCATAGTAAAATTTTATATAGAACATTTTGTCCATTACCACCAACCACCTGAAATGAAGTTTTCATTGAGAAATTGGGCAAAATGAAAAAAATATATATATATGTTAAAGTTCCCCGATATATCTAAGAAATGTTCTTTCTTTTCAGAATAGCTACACACTTGTCGATTCTTATTTGTGAAAAAATCTGCACACCCTCACGTATGTATGTACCTACATTATGTACTCAAATAAACCAGACAAGAACAATTTACTAAATAGCCCGGCGTTTTAATATTATTTTCTATTTTTTTTCTTTTGCTTTTTTTAAATTATAATACGCAAAGACAAAAAACACACACATTTGCATACTACCTAGACCATGTGTATTAAAACGAAATGAGAGTATAAGTAAGAAAAAAAATAGAAGACGAATTAAGATATTTTGGCCCAACTTCAAAATATACAAATCGTTTGTGTATTGCTCTGTTAATTGACCACAATACGTCGAGGTACAAAGAACACCACATAATGCCACTAAAATTAAATTAGAATCCGCAGCATCACGACCAACCGATCAAGCAAGCAACAACACGATTATTACATAGCCCTCAATAAAAAAATAAAATAATGCAAAATTTTAGTGAAAAAGTGATATTTTCAACAGATAATGAACAATTTGGCAGGTATGATGATGAATTACATCAAGCAGAAAAAATTATTTGAATTTTTTTTTTTCAAAAAAATTTTAATTTGTTAAAAAAAAATTGAAAATTGTTTTCGTTTTTTCCCCGTAGACATTTGAAAGCAGCCATTGATATAGAGCCCGGTGATGTGTTGATTGAGGAATCACCACTCTTGGTGACAACACACTGGGAGTGTGAACAAATGAAATGTGCCAAATGTTGTGAGGATTCGTTTGTAATTTGCAAGTAAGTGTTGTAATGAAAGTGTGTTAATTTTTTCCCCCATAATATTTGGAATGTATTTAAATTGCTAAATATTAAAACAAATCGTGAACCTAAATACATAATATGTCAATATCGCATCTGTTTACGTGATTTATGTGTGTGTGTGCAGTTTTTTCTAATTAAAATTTAATTCAAAATAGTGTTTTGAAAAAAATTAACAAGCAATTAATTGATGATCGATTAACAAAAAAAAAAGGAAAAATACTGTGTTACAAAAAAAAATTTAATACCAAAATTTAAAAAAAAAATAAATATTTCTTTTTTAATTTAAAAATATTTTTTAATCTTTCTAATGGGCGTGGATTTAAAAAAAAATTATGGCCTATCCTTGGGCGTGGCATAAAACTAAATTTTTATTGAAAAATCGAGGAAAATAGTCGAAAGTAGACAATGTTTAGTTTAAGGCAAATTTAAACTGTAATATTCTTGTTGGTGAGGACCCATAGTAAAATTTTATATAGATAATTTATTCCATTGACATCAACCACCTAAAATGAAATTTTCATTGGGAAATTGGGCAAACTGGAAAATGGCCGAAATTAGACAAAATTATTTTTTAGGCAAATTTTAACTGTAATATTTATGGGAATAAAGTAATATATACCGACATGTTGTTGTTGAGGACCCATAGTAAAATTTTTTGTAGAACAATTTTTCCATTGACATCAACCACCTAAAATGAAGTTTTAATTGAAAAATTGGCCAAATTTGAAAATGCTCCAAATGGGCGAAATTAGACAACATTTTTGTTTTGGTCAAATTTTTAACTAACATTTATGGGAATAAACTAATATATACCGATATCTTGTTGTTGAGGACCCATAGTAAAATTTTATATAGAACATTTTTTCCATTGGCATCAACCACTTTAAATGAAGTTTAAATTGAGAAATTGGGCAGAATGAAAACCGCTCAAAAAAATATATATATATTAAAGTCCCCCGATATCTCTAAGAAATTTTCTTTCTTTGCGGAATAGGTACACAAGTAAATTTTTTAAAAATATTTTTCAAGGTGTACCAAAGGCGTCAATTTTTTAAAAACATTATTCACAGTCCATCTTTAGGAGTGGATTTTTTAATATCTTTAATAAAAATTATTTTAATAAATTGTCTTTCTCCCTTTCCAGAAAATGTAATTTCTTTCCCTTGTGCATGGACTGTACCGAACACGATCCCTTCGAATGTGAATTTTTCAGCAATGCGACAAAGGCAATTTCCAAAAATCTCCTCGTAAATAATTATGCCCTGAATTCGATTATAAAACTTTTGATGGTTATTGAAAATCCCAAAACCATGGATTCCTGTACAAATTTAACTCCGCATAATTTCAAGCTGAATGAATATCGTGATACGGACATGTGGATGGATCATTTGACAAATATTGTTCAGCCAATTTTACATAGTGGTCTAATGGATTGTATGAGGAATCTGCAAAAAGCCAAAGTCGATATGAAAGATGCAGATTTTTTACATAAGCTGTGTATACTGATCGATGCGAATGCCTTTGAGGTGTCGAGTAAGGTGACAGGAGATTCGTTGAAGGGGTTGTATATACATGCTTCGAAAATGCCACATCATTGTGTACCGAATACCGCGACCGCTATTGATGATGATTATAATATGAAAATATATGCAGCGGTGCCGATTAAGATGGGAGATGTTATTTATAATTCCTATACGAATCCATTGATGGTGGGTTGAATATGGAACTGGAATAAAAACTGGGAATAATATTTTCTTCGATTTCTTTTGTAGGGTACTGTACAAAGACAACATCACCTGCGCCTAACCCGTCACATTGAATGCCAATGTTTCCGTTGCATGGATCCCACCGAACTGAATACCCACATGAGCTCGATTAAGTGTAAACAATGCCCGGAGGGTTATGCCATTTGTGCCCACGGCAAATGGCTGTGTTTGGACTGCAATGCCATCACAGATGCTGTGATGGCTCAAAAACTGCTCATACAAGCCTCTGAGGAAATTGGTAATGCCAATGGCGATGTCATGACCTATGAAGAACTGTTGCGTAAATATGCCTCCGATTTCCATCCAAATCATTTTCTGATGATTGACATCAAGCAGAATATTGCAACGGTACTGAGGGCAGTTCTGATAAATTCTATGCGGGAACCAAATAAAGATATTCTGCGTCGACGTTTGGAATTGTGTGAAGAAATATTGCCCGTGGTGAAGGCAGTTATACCCGGCTATTCAAAGCTATATGCCATTGCTTTGTATGAATATTTATTGTCATTCCTGGAATTGGCGGAATTGGATTTTCGCAGCAAGGAAATACCTAAGGATTTGTATATTGTTAGTATTTTGGAAAATGAAAATGTTTGTTTAGACAACAAAAATAATTTACCTTAATGTCTGTTTTCGATTTTTTTTAAAGGAAAAATTACATGTTGCCCTTGAAATTGCCATGGAATCCAAAGAGCTGTTATCCTTTGAACCGCCAAACTCACCGGAAGGCCATTTGGTAAGGCGCATTGCCATACAGCAGGAACACATTGAGGAGAGTTTAAGTAAATTTGAACATAAATAGAAAAGGGAAAAAAAAAACAACTATTTAACAGACTACAAATTAATTTATTAATAAGAAAATAAATAAAACGAAAAAAATAAATAAATATTTTTTCAATTCTATTCCCATGGAAAGCATTTCTCACGAGAGAAAAATCCTCCAATCGTAGAAAATATAGGAGAAAATTTTTTGGAATATGGCATCTCTTTTTAATCAAGACTTTGGTACCCCTATTTGTTTGCACAAGTTTAAAGTGTTTGTGTTGTACGAAATAATTAAAAAGAAATAAAGAATTGAAACCTAAAAAATGAATAGTATTATACTTAGAGCCTATTTAGAGGATGTTGCTACTACTGATTTCTTCGTCTTTTTCAGCGCCGATTGGGTGACTTCATTAAGATGATTTGATCCTGTTTCTTCACAGGCAGTACTTAAATATTCGTTAAATATTCGCAGCGTATCTTCATCATCGTAAAGACCAACAGAGTTTACTGAAACACCCTCTATATTTCAATAAGTTTATAGATAGCTTCTTCGGAGCTTGATAATTTTTGCTTCTTGTTTGGAGCGCATCCTTTTTGCCTTGCATATTTTTTTTTTGGTCAGCCCAAACCTATTACTCCATTAATTTTGAAGAATTGATGGTCCCCTTATTAGGTGGTCCCATCGAATTGAGATCATTTTCCGATTTTTTCCAAAACCGAGTAAGAGACTCTTTGCTCCCTTTATAGATTCCACGTTTTATTTGTCTTCGACCTACAACGAATTAATATTATGAGAGAAAAAACACAAATCGAACTTTCTTATGATACCTACTTTTTACTTTCTCCCTTTAATTCCGCGCGGAATTTTCTTTACGATTGGGAAAAAGGGAGAAGAAAGAAATTCCGCACGGAATTATTTTTGATGATTGGACTGAATAAAATCCTTACAGTATAAGTGTGATGGTGCATTCCCCGATGTTAGGCAATGTGCTGTATCGTTTAGTGAGTGACATCTGAATAATTGGATGTCACTTAATAAATTTTCGGTAAATCCGAATAAAACGAAAGCATTAAAGTTTGGTCCCCGTGGTGGGATTGAAGTAATAGTTCGAAGTTCTATAACATTGAAATCGAATTTGTGGAGAGCATTGCATGTCTTGGTGTTGTACTGGACAGGGAATTGTTGTTTGAGTCTCATGTTAGCTCGTTGAGAAAGCTTTATAGTTCGGAGCTTTGTCTCGATGTTGAAATGAGGAAATACACTGTGAAAATGTTAATTATGCCATTAATCTTATACTGCATTGAAGTTTTGTTCAGGGACATATCAGGAAGGTTATGTTATCAGGAAGCTGCAGATCGCTTTTTATAGAGTGATGAGGTATGGCAACATGTTACCCCATTTGTCATCGACTTCCTCGGTTGTACTTTGGCTGACTTTATTAGACTTCGGTCCATGCTGTTTTTTTATAAAGGTTATTATAAGCAAGATCAGTTGTTTCTCATAAATGAATTTCGTTTTTCCAGATCTCTAAGAAATCCACAGATACACATTCCAATGTTAATACCCTTTTCGGAACGATAATTTCTCGTGAGAGCTGCCCGGACGTACAAAGGTGTACTGTAAGGCGTAAATTTTTTAATTTAAAAATATTTATATAAGGGCGTGGATTTTTTTAAAAAATATGTTTATAAGGTTCCTCCAGAGGCGTGAATTTTTTAAAAATATTTTAAAAAATGTTATTTTTTCTAGAAAACTATGCAGCCCGGCTGAATAAATCCCGCCAAATAAACAAAAAATTAATCTCCATTGTCATCCCTATTTCCTCTCACGCCTTCAACAAATATGCTCGCAATGTGCCGACTGCATAGTTTTGTGGAAACGAAAATTCATCTCATCTTTTCATATTTCACTATTTTTATCCGGCATACACATTCATTCGAATATTAAACATCGTGACGTGAAGGGGGGCCCAACGCAGCGACGACACACAACTTCTGTCAGACAATCTGTGAAATTGTAAAAAAATGGGTGAAAATTTCAATAAAAAATGTATCATCGAAACCCATGAAAAGGAGGGAAGGTAATTTTCATTTAGGGTATTGGAAAAATATTGAAATGATTTCAAGAAATTGTTTTCAAATCCACGTAGATATGTAAAGGCCAATGAAAATATTAACACGGGAGAGTGTATTCTGCTGGAGCAGCCCACATTGCTGCTGGCATCGGATGGTGAGAGACGTTGTGGCAATTGTTTTCAATTGGCCCAGACATATTGCAGGTAGGGTGCAGAAAAATAGGGATCTGAAAAAATAAATCAAAAAATTATTAAATTTCGCCTTCCCCCTTAGATCCTGCAAGATCACAAACTTGTGTCTGAACTGCAAAGATCACAACAAATACGATTGCGACAAGCTGTCGTCCATGGAGAATTTGAACTGTGATCTGTTGAAGCGTAACACCGAATGTTATGGCATTATCAAGTGTTTGCTGCTGCAAGAGAATCCCGATACGAAGGCATATTTCGATGCAATGCTTGAAGCAGATTGTTATTTGGAGGAACGTCGTGGCACCGACATATGGTCTCATTATCATGACAATGTGGTGAAGCCTTTAATGAAATCGAATGTGTTGAAATATTTGAGACATGGCAAGAATGTCGATGAAGATTTCCTGCAACGATTGTGTGCCCTTATCGATGTGAATGGTTTTGAAATACGTGCTCCCGATTATGGTACCATGAAGGGTGTTTACCTGCGTGGCACCCTATTGACGCATGACTGTACACCGAACACTCAGATTGCCATCGATGATAAATATTGTATGAAAATCTATGCAACTCGGACAATTGAGGCGGGCGAGACGATTGCCAATTGTTATACGAATGTTTTGTTGGTGAGTTGAAAAAAAAACAAAATCGTTAAAAAATCTACGCCTATAGTACACCTTATAAAAATATTTTTAACAAATCCACGCCTTTGGAGGGACCTTAAAAATATTTTTAAAAATCCACTCTTAAGGTTATTTATATAAATGTTTCGTTCTCTCTCTCCCCAGGGCACCGCTGAACGTCGTAAAATCTTAAAAATGGTAAAAAATCTAAATTGCAACTGTAAACGTTGCATGGACCCATCCGAATTCGAATCGCATATGTCCACACTGCTATGTACGGAATGTAAAACTGGTTTTGTAATCAAAAAGGATCAACACGAAAAATGGCAATGCCAAAATTGCGAACATCGTCGTGATGACAAAGACGTTGAGAAGATGTTAACCCAACTGCAAGAAGAAATAATCCAATCACCCAATGATATCTACAAATTGGAAATGATCCTAATGCGCTATGCCAAGGCCCTGCATCCTCAGCATTATCTTATCGTTGATATAAAACAAAATATCGCCTCAGCACTACGTCAGATACTTAATGATCCTTCTCAGTGCCCCGGCCGCAAAGTTTATGAGCGGAAAATTGAGTTATGTGAAGATATTTTAAAGGTCCTTAATTTAATATTACCCGGATGTATATCACGTTTAAAGGCCATTACGCTATACGAATTGGTTAGCACCCAGGCGGAATATTATCGTATGCGTTATAAGGAAAATGAATTGACCAAAACTCATTTGAAGGTAGGTCATGTTGTTGTTTTTCAGATTATTCGAAATTTTTTATTATCTTTTCCGATTTCAGGAATTATTACACGAAGTTGAGCAAATGTTTCGCGAAGCAATACGTATGCTGTTGTATGAACCCAAGGATACACCCGAGGGAAATCTGTTGAAGACAATGTTGCAGGAACTTAAATATCTGCAAACAGATATCAAAATGTTGGATTAAAAAATCAACTCAAAAAATGTAGAAAAAAATTAAAACAAAAGAATTAAAAAAAATAAAATATATATAACTGTCATAATTTATAAATATTAAAATTTGAAATAAAATTGAAAATTAATCTATTTAGAACAAATTTTTGCAGTATAACAGTTTTTTCAAACTGTTATACTATGGTATAACACTTAAAAATTTCTAATAAACAATTATATTGCAACAAAGAGTGAAATTTTAGTATTTATATATAACAGTTTTCTCACACTGTTATACTATGGTATAACACTTAGAAATTAATTAATTAATTTAACCGTATAACAGTTACAACAAAAAGTGAAATTTTAGCATTTTTTAACCGTATAACAGTTTTGAAGACTGTTATACAGCCTACAAATTGTTCAAAATTATGTACTTTGTTAGAATTTATAAATAATATTTTAATTTTACTGAATTATGATTATAAAAATTGAAAATTAATAAATTTTGAAGAAATTTTAGCAGTATACTCCAGTATAACAGTTCGAATAGTTGATATTTTCCAGCAAAATAACACTCCTAAGTATTTCGTTTATATACCTTGCAGTAAATTAAAAATTTTCAGAGATTTCACATATTTTCCCCCAGTATAACAAAAATATTACAAAATGTGCAGAAAAATTATAATTTTCCAGTTAACTGAATATATTTTTAAAAACCAATATAACAGTTTCACAAACTATTATACTAATGCATAACAGTTTTAAAATGGCATATTTTCATCGTTCAAACCATAATTTTCAAAATTCATAATTTTTTGGCTGTATAACAGTTATGCCGAAACTGTTATACAAGGGTATAACAGTTTGAAAATTTTCTAAATTTCGGGAAAGTAGTTCTAAAATTAATTTTTCTCTTAATTAGTGACCCCTTAACCCCGTGTAGGTTTCCGATAGATCACAAAACACTGTCCCAACCCTTTGAGAGGAGAAGTAAATAAAAATACTTGAGCATTGCCAAAAATATTCGCAGACAGGCTGTCACACACAGAGAGTGAGAGAGAGAGTATGGCAAGATTGATGGCATGCATGCGTTAGTTCATGCTGCAAATGCTATTGAGCAGTAAAAAGCTTTGTCTAGGACAAGACATGACGGCTGATATATTTGAAAAATCCGAATGGACAGTTCATTAAGCATCTGTCAAAGAGATGGCAAGCAAGTGAAAGAAAAATATTGGTATTATTTTTCAAAAAAAGAACCAAAAAAATATGGCAGATACCTTTGGCAAAAATTGCACAATTTGTGAAAATGAAACTTTAGGAAGGTAAGTCGAAGAAATTCCGAATGAAATTTTAAAAATAAAACCTTTCCATTGCAGATATGTCAAGGCCACACAGGTAATACCTCCCGGTGAAACAATACTCTTGGAATCTCCCATACTAATATTGGCCTGTAAAGGTGACAAGCGGTGCTGCAATTGTTTTCGTTTTGCCCAGCAATATTGTAGGTAGGTAGGGACAAGGTTACTATTTATATCCCTCCCAAACAAAAAAATCAAAGATCCTAAAAATATATTCATATAATGTGTAATTTTTCTGTTCTTCTTTTTCTACTTTTATAGAAAATGCCAGATATCTCCCTTGTGCCTAGACTGCAGCGAACATGAAGATGACTTTGTTTGCAATAGTTTGGCTGCAATTATCTCCGAACCAGATGTTCGTCTGGATATTCTAAAGAAACACATAGACGCATACGGGCTCTTGAAATGTTTGTTGTTACATGAAAATACGCAAACGCGAAAAGCTTTCGAGGCAATGCTTCAAATGGAGGCTCACATGGAGAAAAGACGTAATTCGTCGATTTGGCAGGAACATAATAGAGATATTGTACAACCTCTACTGCAATCGAATATTTTGAAGGCGCTTCAATTAGATATGGCCATGAGTGAGGATTTTCTACAAAAAATTCTCGGCATTTGGGATGTAAATTCCCATGAAATACGTGCACCCGATGCTGAAGTTATGTGTGGTCTTTATCCACAGGTTTCGCTACTGGCTCACAATTGTTGCCCCAATGCCAATCAGGCCATTGATGATCAGCATCGTATGAAAGTTTATGCAAATCGTGAAATTCGTAGTGGAGAAATGGTTACAAATTCCTATACGAATTTGTTGTTGGTAAGTTGGCAAAGGGTGGGGAGGATGGACCTATTGACTTTTTTTGTTCCTTTCACTTCTCTCGATTAGTCCTTGCGTTAGTTTATAAGTTGATAATTGGTCTGCTGAAGCCTGCCCCAAGTAATGGGACTGCCATCTATCGTTGTCTAGAATCAACGTCCCTTTGAAGTTGGGGGCATATTTCATCCTGCAGATATCAATTCGGTTGAAATCGATTGCATTGTAGGTGTTCCTATTGGCCGGATGTCTATAAATTCCATTGCTGTAGGTCTCATTCCAAGCATGATGCCAATATACTTCTCTACCACATTCTAATCCTTTCCATTTGATCTGACCATATGTCTGCCCATGCAGCAAAGGAGTAAGTGATTATGGGTTGAATCACTTGCATGGATATTAGCAATTTTACCTCTGATGAAAGTTCTCCTTGCATTCGGAAGAGTCTTTGATAGGCAAAGTTCATCTTTTTGGTCTTTAAAGGCACATACTCCACATGGCGACAGAAGTCGAGGTGCAGGATGATTTCAAGGTATTTTATCTTGTCTGACATCCCGATGAATTCATTTCCAACCTTTATAATTGGAATGTACTTTCGGAAGCTCTTCGAGGTGGATTTGGGTTTGCCCTTGAATACCACACATTTTCCGACATTGAGTCTAAGTCCCCATTTTTTGAAGTAGTTTTGAGAAGTCATTCCATGTACACATTCAATCTTCTATCCACAGTGCTTCCAAAACGGCCTCGTAGAGCAAGTAACACATCATCAGCGTATGTAAATAGCAGTCCTCTTTCGGAGAATTTTTCTGTCAAACACTCCCAAGAGCTGCCACATCTACACCCAAGTTTTAGATCCATATAACACAGCACGGGAAGTATCAGCTTTTTGTAGAGTATAAGTTTGGACTGGCAGGAGCTGGTCCTTTCTCTAAATAGCTTACTTAGGCCATAGTAGGAACTGTGGCCAACACTATTCTCCTCCGTATATCAAAGCTGATTATTAGTACATATTAGTTTTGTTTATGGCGGTACCAAGGTATATAAAATCTTTGACTACCTCGAAGCTTTAGTTTTCAAGTTTCACAGTTGGTCCGAGTCTACGGGACGCCATTTACTGGCAGACTCCCTCACAATTTGTTCAAAGGTGGCGCAATGTTCGACGAATTATGTCGATGTCATCGGCGTAGGCGAGTAACATATACCATTTCTGTAAACTTGTGCCTCATCTTTTCCAGCAGGGTGTTAAAAAGATCACACGACAAACTGTCACCTTGTCTGAATCCTCGTCCTTTCCGTCTTTAACTGCTGACCTTGTGCCAGTTAAAGTTATCCTGCATATCACTGTTAATTAATATTATATCTCATATTTTCAGGGCACCGATGAACGTCGTCAAATTCTGCGTGAAGGTAAATATTTCCATTGCACTTGTGAACGTTGTGAAGACCCCACCGAATTGGGTTCGCATATGAGCAGTTTCATTTGTTCGGCCTGTGCCAGCCACAAACAAGAAAGTTTTATTGTTCGAAACCCCGAAACGAAAATATGGAAATGTCAAAAATGTGAACACACTCTACGCCCCGAACAGGTTACCAGGATATTGGAAAAATCCAAAGAAGAAATGTTCCATTCACAGGGCGATTGTCGTCGCCTGGAATATTTACTGGCTAAGCTAACGACCATATTACATAAAAATCATTATATAATAGTCGATTTGAAACAGGAGATTGCAAATATTTTACGTTCGGTCATTGCGAATAGTCATCGGCCGAATCGTCATTTGTATGAACGAAAGATACGATTGTGTCAGGATTTGGTATTACTTTTGCAGATTATACAGCCGGGTATTACACGGCTGAAGGGTATTGCTTTGTATGAAATGGCAACGGCCAGTGTTAAGTTGCAGCGTTTGAAGGTGGAGGAGAAGGAAATTGAGGTGGCAGTATCGCATCAACGTTTAAAGGAATGTGCAGCCATGTATAAGGAGGCGAAACGATTGTTATCACATGAACCCGAAGCAAGTCCTGAGGGTCAATTGTTGAAAACAATTGTAATGGAATTTAATGTTTTGCATAAGGAGCTGGAAAATACGAACACAGCTGGGGAGGATAAATAAAAATAAATGTATTCTGTTTAATTTACAAAATGTTTGTGTATTTTCAATATTAATACCTCTGAAGGGTCTTATATTTGTGGATTTTTTAAAAAAATATTTTTGGGAACCATAAAAAAGCGTAGAATTTTTAAAGAGTATTTTTAGGAGCTTTATAAGGCGTGGATTATTTAAAGAAAGAAATTAATACAATTTCTGGGTTCAGAATTCCCGTCAAAATTAATACGGCTATGCAGGATAACTTTGAGTGGCACAAGGTCAGCAGTTAAAGTGGGAAAAGGACATCTCGGAGCCCTCAATACCGAAGGAGGATTCAGTCAAGGTGACAGTTTGTCGTGTGACCTGTTTAACATACTGCTGGAAAAGTTCATACGTGAGGCAAATGTGAACATCAATGACACTCTGTATACTTTGAAATCCGGAGGAGAATAGTGTTGGTCTGAGTAAGCAACTCAAAAGCAATGCCTCCTATCGCCAGTCCAAACTCACATTCTAAAAGACGTTGATATTATCCGACTTGTGGTATGGATCTGAAGCATGGGTACTTGCGCAACCAGATTTTACAGCTTTTGAGAGAAAAATTCTCCGAAAGAGGACTGCTATTTACATAGGCTGATGATGTGTTTCTTGCTCTACGAGGCCGTTTTGGATGCACTGTGGTAGGAAGATTGAATGTGTGCATGGAAACGCTTCACAACTATTTCAAAAAATGGGGATTTAAACTCAATGTCGGAAAGTGTGTATCGGCGAAAGTACATTCCAACTATGGATCTCCCTTCACAAGCTTCGGTCAATACATCATAACGGAATTTTGGGTGATCTGACAATTTTCTGTCTTTGACTACGTATCTATCATTGGGAAGCACCTTGTTTATGTCATAAGGACCTTTAAATTTTTGGCAATAGCTTTTTTCTTAACTCCTTCGAAAGTGTCTACGTTCTTTATTACTACGAAATCTCCGACTTTGAATGATCTGATCGTATAACCCTTTTCCTTGGACCTTTGCTCGTTGTACTTCTGTGTGTTTATAATAACGACCGGTAGACATCCTTAATGTGCACTGTGAGATCCGATATTAGTCTAAGTTAGATATGTTTAAGTAGTTCTTAAGGTAAAATGTGTTTAAAATAAAATAAGAATCAATCAAAACCGGAAGGTTGCCTGTTCTATTCTCAAAAAATTGGTCCATATGAGGTCTTCAGGAATCGTTCGAAGAAGCTGGTTACATTTCTGGATCAATACCATTGCGTCTGCTGATAATTTTGCTCGCAGCTGTGGGTACACTTAACGATTAGACACAAAACAATCCTCCATGTGTACGTTCTGCGATGAGGCTAAATTAAATTATTTTAAGTAGTTCTTAAGTCTAAACATTGTAAAATAAAATTCGAATTGAAATAGCTTCGATCCGGGCTTCAGCGGGTAATTCAAAATGCATTAATTTAATAATCAAACTTATGATTTATTTCCATTATCCTTTAATATTTTATCAATTTCCCGCAACAACTTCTCGACCGCACCAAAACGGTCTGAACAATTTTCCATCGGACAGGCAACACAATGCTCCAATCTTTTCCATAATTCCGGATATTTTTCCATTACCCAGTCGGGAATAGGATATAGAAATCCCTTCGTTTTATCTCGATAAAGATCCTCACTTAAAAATTGGCAGGCGGAATAAATATTCAAATCACTTAGAAAATACGAGGCAATATCATCAGGAGAATATGCAAAACATCCGGGACATTCGATATATTCATGACGATGAGTTGAGGATTTATATTTCACCGCTTTGGAATCTACCACAAACAGAGTATCCAAATCGACAAATGACAAACGATTTTCCGGCACACTATAGACCACGTTATCGGCTGTCAAATCGGTGATATAAAAACGATAATCTCCGAAGCCGTGTGAGAATTTCACACTGGCCAGCAGTAACTGTTTGGCAATTTCTAATTTTAGAAAAAAGTTTTCCCTATAGTAATGCCATAAATCCTGACCCGCATATTCTTGATAAATTGTAAAACCACAAACTCCTTGGGTTTTGGGTACCAGGAAATCTCTGGAATATAGCAATGGCATAAACAGAGGTTGTATATTAACCAGCAAATACAACCATATGGTTAGGCTAGGTAAATTGGTGTGATAGGTCCCCAAAAAATCAACAAATCTGTCGATTCTCTTTAACGGATAGAACTGCATGCCATCCAAACGTTCGGCTGCCAAAAATTTACTTTTCAGTGCCCTCTCGTTGAGGGTGAAATTGAAGTGATCCTTGGAATTGGCAAAATATTTTGCCAGCAATCTGGTTTGGGTTCCATGTACAGCATACAAGCGATTTGATCTTTTACAGCTACGCTGCGGTAGTAATGTTATAAAATTTTGCCATACGGATGGTTGTTCGGAATTTGTTACCAATTTTTCCGTGAGATTCTTGCAGGTGTCTTTTTGGCTTTGGAAACATTGAGGGCAATAGTCCAGGTCCTCTTGAAATTTATTTAAATGTTCTTGATCCTGTAGTTGCATCTTAAAGTCTAGGGTATTGAGAGCCACTATCAACAGGATGATGAGACGTATATGGGAGAGTTCACGCATTTTGGGGGAGCCGGATGCAACTGCAAATAGAAGAGAAATGTTTTTTGAAAAATTTGCCAAGAAAAGCTATTTCCATATTTTTAGAAAATCCACGCCCAAAGGGAGACCTCGAAAGTTATTTTTAAATAAATCCACACCTAACGGAAGACCTTGAAATTTACTCTTGTTCTTTTTCTTCTAAACCCCACAAATAATAAATTGCAAAGACCTGCCTTCTTAGTCTTCTTCATGATGGTTGCTGTTTATTTTCCTGCACATCTTCTCTTCGTCTGCCCTGATAATAAAGAGGCAATTTTTTTGTTTTTGCAGGTTCTAAAAATAACTAACAGTTCTTAAGTTGTTGCCTTCCGATCGTCGATATGGTGTGGCACATGTTGCAGAAGAAGATGAAGAGCAGTTATTAATGGTGGTGGTAGAACATGTTACAGGCAGAACCAACAACACCAACAGGGATATTTGCTGGGTAATGAAACAGGTTCAAGGTTTTTGTTTCGAAAGAAAAAAATTGCCAAACCACATGGCCCAACCGTAGAAGAAAAAGAAGTCGAAGAATATGACCATTAACTTAATAGGATTGTTAAGATTTCGAAGTAAACTGTTTTGTAGGATAAAAAAAAACAATAACAACAAAAACAATAAAAAAGATGGATGAAGGCCATGCAAGAAATGCCATTGGCTTTATTTTGTAGTTCTTAATAAAATGTTTCTAAGATAGCGAAGAGTTCTATCAAGGATGGATATTTAAACGTTTTCTTAAGTAAAATTCAAAGTTTTCTATATAAACTCTAAGCATAATTGAAAAAATTTCTATCGGAACTCTTATTCAGCTAAGCATAATTGAAAATTTTCTATCGGAACTCTAATTCAGCTAAGTAGTATTAAAGATTTTCTATAGAAACCCTTATACAGCTAAGCAGCAATGAAGATTTTCTATAGAAACTCTAATTCAGCTAAGCAGAATTGAAGATTTTCTATCGGAACTCCAATTCAGCTAAGCGGGAATTAAGATTTTCTATCGGAACTCCAATTCAGCTAAGCGGAATTGAAGATCTATCAGAACTCTAATTCAGCTAAGCAGAATTGAAGATTTCCTACAGAAACTGTTATTCTGCTAAGCAGCAATGAAGATTTTCTATAGAAACTCTAATTCAGCTAAGCTGAATTTAAGATTTCCCACAAAAACTATTATTCAGCTAAGCATAATTAAAAATTTTCTATCGAACCCCTAATTCAGCTAAACAGAATTGAAGGTTTTCTATCGGAACTCTAATTCAGCTAAGCTGAATTGAAGATTTTCTATTGGAACTCTAATTCACTAAGCAGAATTGACGATTTTTTACTGAAACTTTAATTCAGCTAATCAGAATTAAATATTTTTTATCGGAACTCTAATTTAGCTAAGCGGGAATTCACCTAATCAGAATTGAAGATTTTATATCGGAACTCTAATTCAGCTAAGCAGAATTGAAAATTTTCTATTATATTTCTAATTCAGCTAAGCAAAATTGAAAATTTTCTATCGGAAATGTTATTCAGCTAAGCAGCAATGAAGATTTTCTTATGAGTTGTGTAAAAGATTGATTAAATGAGGTAAGGCCCACAAACAAAATCAATTTAATGATTTTATTTAATAATAAATTATTCAAATATTCATTATTTATTAAAAAAATTGTTAAAAGTTATTTAATTTTATTAAAATATTCAAATAATAATGCAATTATTTTCTGCTTTACGTCTGAAGAGGTCTCTCTCTCTCTTTTAAGGAAGGAGTTAAAGACAACCGATGTCTTGTCAGCTGTGTTTTGACCAATGGTGGGCAAATTTTCTCTTAAAAATATTTAAGGGAAAATAAAAACATGAATTATTCTTTGGAATTTATTAAATTTAATATTTTTAAAGCATAAATAATATTTCAAAAAATAAAGCTTAAAAAAACCAAAGCATTGATTTATTTATAATAAAATATAAATAAAATAGTTGTTTTTTATAAAAACAACAAGATATTTTTGTAAGCTTTACAACCAAAACATTGATTTATTTATAATAAAATATTAAATCATTTATTATTTATTACAAGCTCTATTAAAATTTATTTCATTTTAATGAAAAAATGACAAAGAAATTCCTACACTTGTGTTCATTTTACATCTGGGGAGCTCTCACTCTCTTTTTAAACAAACTGTTGTTAATGACAACTGATGCCTTGGCAGTTGAGATTTGGCGGGCAATGTGGCCGTCCACAATGACTATTTAATGATTTAAATGCTAAAACATTACAAAAATATTAAATTGTGAATAAAAAATATTAAAGACAATTATTATTTATTGAAAACATGGTTAAAGTTCTTTTTTTATTTAAATAACCAAAGAAACACCTACAGTTGTTGTCTCTCCTCTTTACGTCGAGGGCTCACTCTCTTTTAACACAGAGCGTTGAAGGCAATTGACGTCTTTCAAAAAGACGGTTGTTAATGACAACTGATGTATTGTCAGTTTTCTGTTTGGCGGGCAATGTGACCGACCACGAAAAAGTTTACGAAAAAACTTTAAATGGTTTATAGAAAAATATTAAATTACATAGTTATGATTAATTAATAATTATCTTTAATTTTTGTTTACATTAATAAAATAGTCAAAAGAACAATTGCACTTGTTTTTTTCTTCTTTGCGGTTTATGTGTGGGGAGCTCACTTTTAACACAGAGAGTTGAAGGCAACTGATGTCTTGTAAGTTTTGTTTTGGCAGTCAATTCTGCCGGCCATAAAAAAGTTTAGGAAAACCTTTAAATTTTTAATAAAAAAATATATTCAATTATTTATTAATAAGTGTTGTTGTTATATTAATATGAACTAGTCAAAAGAACAATTCCATTTTTTCTTTATGGCTTATGTGTGTGGAGAGCTCGCTCTCTTTTTAAAAATTGGCAGCTGATGCTTTGTCAACTGGCAGCTGATGCTTTGTCAACTTGTTTGGCCAACGGCAATGTATGTGTGCGGCCACAGGAAATATTTAATAATTATAATAAAATAATAATAAATTATTAAACTAAACTATTAAAAATAATAAATTAATAAACTATTTATTAAAAAACAACATTAAAATTTATTTTATTTTAATAAAAAAATGTGAAAAGAAACACTTGTTCTTCTTAACGGTTTGTGACATGTAAGGAGATCGCTGCTCTCTTTTAAAGTAGGGAATTAAATGTGGACGGCCAAAATGTTAGTTAATAAAGAATGTTCTTTAATAAAAAAACATCAATGCAAATAATTATTAAAATATCAATTTTTCAGAAAATTTTTGTTACATTGATTTTATTTTAATAATATTTTTTTAAGTAGCAGTTGCACTTGTTGTTCTTTTCGTATATTGAGAAAGGTGAGCTCTCTCTTATGTTGATCTCTTAAAACATACAAGACGACAGAGTGTCAAAGTTGTGTGTATGGTGGACGGTCAAAATGTGGCAGACGACCACAATGAAATAACAACAGCAAAGCAAAACAACAATACCTTGTTGGCCAGGTGCGAGCAAGGTAAGTTAAGAACATTGAGAGAAAAAAGAGTGACGGAGAGCTATGAGAAAAGAAATACTAATCGCAATGATGGGCAAAATTTCTCTTAAAAAATGTTTAAGAGAGCATAAATAATATCCAAGGAAGTTCAAAAAATAAATTCATTAAAAAGTTTTCGGAAAAAAATTTCTTTAATGTTTATTTTTGTTTTAACATCAAAAAATGTAAAGAGAATCCATCAACGCTGGTGTACAAGTCTGCCCAACTATGACTAATCGTCAAGTTGGCAGAAACAAACACGATTTGCAAATGATACAAAAGTGTGAGATATCTATATTTCTGATTAGTTGTGTGGGGAGAGTTGTGCTTAACGCATCGTTCGCGAATAATACGTCCCGAGAATTTCCTATAACTGGCGGACCAAAAAAGAAAAGACGTATAATAATATAAAAAACAACAACAACATAATACAATTACAAGCAACAAGTTGATATTCTCATTGATTTATCAAAAGATCAGCTGGCAAAAGCACACAAACGTTCTACTATATATTGGTCAAGTTCAATAAAACAAAACAAAAACACAATACTTAAAAAAAAACAAACTAACTTCCATCAACAAAAACCAACAGAGAAATAAATCAAAAATATTTTATAAATAAAAAAACAAATAATGGATATTTTTTGTCATCAAATAATTATAAAATAAAAAAAACGCCAATGAACAACAGCAACAAAATTAATGTGCGCAATTGAATACGAAAAAATTAGTATTTAATCATTAAAATTAACAAACGACAAAAAACAAACCCCCCAAACCAAAATACCAAGGCAAACACAAACGTTCTAAACTTTTTGAGAGAGAAAGGAGAACTGACAAAATTTTACAATAACAACAGCAGCAAAAAATTGTCAAAAACGTTTACATAAGATAAAAAAATCCACAACAACAAAAATTTTGATGGTAAGTTAAAAAGTGTTTGAAATAAACTGTTATAACATTTTTAATACAAATCAGTTTTATTTACTTTTTTAAGGAAGATAAAAAAATGTTCAAAGTAGAGATTGATGAGTAGAAATTTTTTGAAGATTTTAGACTGAGAAATCCCATGAGAAATAAAATTTGTAAGCATCAAAAATTTTTTTTCAAAGTAAATATTGATGAGTAGAGAATTTTTTGACTGTGAAGTCCCATGCGGAATAAACTTTGTAAGCATCATATTTACATATTTTAATACATTTTTTTAATTTATCTAAATTTTAACTAGGCCAAAATTTACAGCAAATCAAATATTTATTTTAAAAAAGATCAAGCTGTAGTATTTTGTTCTCAAATTTTCAAGTAGAAAACTGTCAAGTATTTTTTTTTTATCAAACTACATTGTTTACCAACGAAGACGAATTTCAACAACTTTGATAACATCATTACATGTCAAGTAGCAATACAAATAAAAGATCTTGTTAACATAAATAAATAATTGACAATATATGTATGTATGTATATATTTCTTAAATTTACTGTTATATTACAAATATTTCTAACTTTTTTTATTTAAAGATAAGAGGACTCGTAATGCTAAACAAGTCAAAAAGTACTTATTTGTGCTTAACATAGAACTCAAAGTAAATATAAACATGTGAATGAAGCGTTCGAAGTTCGAACATTGGATACCCTCCACCATAGGTATACTGACAGGTACTAGAAATGAAAATAGTGGACCTATACCGACATTACTACAAACCGATTTATGTAAATTTGCATTCAATTCGAGCGAACCCCCCTAAAAAGTAAATTACAGCCAATTCGGGCGAAAAAATGCTGTCAAAACCCTCCAAAAACTGAAAATTGGGGGGTGCCGTTATATGGGGGCTACCAGAAAAAAACGGAACTATATTTATAATTTTTGGGGGGAGAAATTTGCTACCCAATAAAAACTCGAAGTACTAAATTTCATCGAATTCGCGCTCATGAACCTCAAAATACCCGAAAAAATGGGGGTCCCGAATATGGGAGCTCTGCCTTCACACTAAAAAGATGCAAAATACAATTCGAATTGGCTCTCCATTCGAAATGGTTTATATCACTACCGTTTCCAGACGACATATCTGTATCTAAAAGTCACGAATAAAGTTCTTCTAAGGACTATAGCTTATATCGATCAATTTCATAGTTATACTGCCGCTTATTGTAGCCAAACTCAAACTTTATGCTAATAATTATTAAAATATTTCATCGGCCATGAATTAGTCATTGATCAACTGATCGTAAGATTTCGGGATGTTAATATTAAATATGGTCATTGGCAATTTTCTCAAATTTATATCTAAAATTCACTTTCACCCGAAATGAAAGTGAAAGTAAATTAAAAAAAAACATGTGACAGTTCTTCAATATTTCCATATTTGGAAATATAATCCAAATTCATTTGTTTTCAAATTTCAAAATACATTTCACAAAACCTGGTCAGCCTGGTAATATCCCCCAACGATTTTTTTTTTATTTTCATTTCAATACGATATTTACTACCTACCTCTAACTACCTGATTGAGTATCTGCTCAAAGGTAAACGACAATAAACCACACATTGTGACACACACACAACATGATCACCTCCCTTCGAGATGAATGGCTAGGTGGTTGGCCGGCTGGTTGTTCTCAAATGAAAAAAATCACACGAACTGTCTAAACTTTAAGGAGATTTACTTTGGGGGTTTCTTGTTGTTGTTGCTGCTACTTTTTTATTTATTGTTGTCCGAGGATCTACAATTAAAGTTGATTTTATTTTGATTTGTTGTTGTTTTTGTTTTGTTCTGGGTATTTGATTTTCATTATCACATGGTGGTGATGGCTTAGAACACAAACATCGGAGTATAACCACAACAGCAACAATAAAAAAGTGGTTTGTCATCATGAAGTGTTGTGTATTTTATTTTATTTTTAGTTTTAATTGTTTTGAATGTTTGTTGTTGTTTTTTTTTTTTCTACCGGCATTTCTTAACTGGTATTTGTGCTCTGGAGGTTTCAAAATGTTCTAACTACATATAGCAGAATTGAGATGGCTATTTATGAATGGGCTACAGTCGGACAAGGTTAAAATTAATTCCCTTTTTTTCACCGAATTGGCTGTAATTTGATATTTTGGGTAGTCGTTCAGTGACAAATCTTCATACCAAAAATCATCAATATTGAATCACGTTTTGTTATAGCTCCCATATTACTTAACCTCAATATTTTCAAAATATTGTGGTTATCACTTAAAATTTTCATCCGAATAGGCTGTAATTTGATATTTTGGGTTCTCATTGGTTGACAAGTCGTCCTGACAAAAATTATAAATATCGGTCCATGTTTCGGTATAGCTGTCATTTTCCGATTATTTATGACAGGCATTTCAACCGAATTGGCTGTAATTTAATATGTTGGGTTCTCACGTCATGACAAATCTTGCAACCAAAAATGATCAATATCGGTTCACGTTTCGGTATAGCCCCCATATAATAGTTTCCCTAATTTTCCGATTTTAAGTCAGAATTTTCAACCAAATTCATTGTAATTTTATATTTTGAGTTCTCATGGTGTGACAAATCTTCACACCAAAAATTATCAATATCGATCCATGTTTTTGTATAGCCCCCATGTAACTTAGAATTTTCAACCGAATTGGCTGTAATTTCATATTCTGAGTTCTGAAATCAAATTAAAAATTCAAATAAACATTATTCTATTAATAACCTCATAGTTTCAAAATTTTTTTTTTACATTTATCCATGGTCAATACACTTTGGCTGTTGGCATACAAAATCACATAGTTTTTTTAATATGCTAATTATTTTATATTTTTATATATATATATAGGAACATTTGTTTATTTACTTTGTTGTTGTTTTGTTCTGCAATACTCAAAAAAAGCCAAAGACACGTGAGCCCTGGACGACGATGTTACCTATTTTGTATTCAAATCAAATATTATGTTTATGGGGAGAGACAAAACGTGCTTATTATTATGTATTGAACACGGCCCGGCTGTTTACTATTTCATGTTGTGTAATTAGAATAATAATAATATTTGGAATATATTTTTTTCAATTTCAATTGTAAATCAAAAAAATATATTTCCGGTCTTAGTTTTTTTTTTTAAATTACACTAGACTACAAAATGTGTTTTCTTGCCTTCTTGATTTCAAAACTGTATGCTAACGGTAATTTTATTGCCAAAAAAATCAGGTTTTAAACAAAGCCATTAGGCCAAAATGAGGCGAGCCCTCTTCTTTTTTTTCTTGAAATATTTTAATTTATTTATGAAAACGCAGAAGAAGAAAAAACAAATATTTATGTTAATTCGCCTTTTTTAACTGTTTTGGTTTATATGAAAATATATATGTCTATTTTTTATTTTACATATTTATAAGAGACCTTTTCTAAGACTTTCTCTTGATCTCAGTGTGTTTTTTTCATTTCATTACAGATGGCCTCGGCAACAGCCGCCTCATTTGGTGTTTGTCACCCCCAAATCAAAACAAATTATCACTTTGAGAATTACAAAAAATCCAACCATCTTTTAACAGCCGCCTCCGTACGACCACCACCACCCGTGTCACTGGCCCTGCGCTATGAACAGCTGTTGGCCAGTGAAAAATATTACGACTGTGTGTTTCTATGTGCCGGCCATGAAGAAATACGCTGCCACAAGCTAATTTTGGCCACAGCCAGTCCCGTTTTTGAGGCCATGTTCTTTGGGCCGATTAGTGAAAAACAAAATTGTATCGATATTCTCGATATGAGCAGTGATATATTTCGTCTTATGATCAGCTACATTTATACGGGCAGGGTTAATCTGCATCATCTCACCCTAGAGGAGGCAATTGAGCTGTACTATGGCGCGGAGAAATATTTACTGGGCGATTTGAAATTGGAATGTCTGGAGGCCATACAAATGAAGCTACGCTTTTCCAATATTTTGGCTGCCCTGGAATTGAGCATTTGCCTGGATTTGAATAGTCTGCTGAGTATTTGTTTCAATTTTTTCGTACGCTGTTGCCTGCAAGAGGCCCAATTTGTGGCCTATCTGAAGACGCATTACTATCATGTGTCGAAGGATTGCCTAAAGGCCCTTATCGACCTGTGTAGAGAACAGATACCCGGCCAACAGTTATTGTGGTTCATATACGAATGGTGTCAGCAGGAGTGCCGGGAAATGGGTCTTAAGCAAACGGAGTGTTCCAGCATTATAGAGGATCTCGACTTAAAGGATTGCAAGCAGGGTCTGCTAGAAGGCGGCAGTGAAAACAGGCTAAAACCTCAGTATTCTCAGTCGGTGGAAAGATGTTACTACAAGGCATGCCGACCCTTTACCATTGACCATGACAATTGTCAGTGGTCGACATATTTGAAATCGAATCGTTTTATTTCACTGCAGGGTCTCACGCTGCACAGTCGTTTGACACCGCACCTAACGCCAGTGGGTCGTCCGGTGCCCAGTACGGAATATTATGAAAATCTAAGCATAGAAATTACAACAGCAGGCCATCAAAACCACGAAGAAGATGATCAGCCATTACGCTGGACCCACAGCATCAGCAAACAATTGACCAAATACAATTGCGATGTAAACGTGAAATGGTCTCAGGGTATTGTCCTCTCACCGGATGTTGAATATGAAATTAAATTAATATGGCATCCTACACAATGTCAGGGTGCTGAATATCCCTGCAGTTTGTATTCTTCCCAGGTGGATGGTATAGAATTTCGGGACTTGATGGATTCGCACAGTGGCAGTCTGATAAAGGGGGTACATTTTGTGAATTTAGTTTAAAAAAAATTAAATAGTTATAAGTTTTGTAAGAAAGAAAGAAACAAATTAAAATAAAAAATTTTGAAAATTTAAATAGCATTAATTAAGCGTGTAATAAAAACAAATTTTAAAAAATACAAAAAATTGAAATAAAAAGATTTAAAATAAAATTAAAAAAGAAATAAAAAAAAATAAACACCAAATATTTGCTTATAATAGAGTATAGGGGAGACTGGGGCACCTTCGGCATCGGGCACCTTCGGCAATCGCGTTTTTGTAGCTCTCACCGTACATCACTACTTTCGATACATAGGTATCGAATATCGAAATAAATAACTGACACAAAGTTTGAAATTTCTAGCTAATAAGCTTATTTAGATACATGGGTTTTTGTATTTTTATAGATGTTTCTGTAATATTTCAATTCCATTTCGTGTATAAAACTTTTTATATTTTTAAGACAATATTATTAGAAAGTGGTTAACTACGATGTGTATTATTATAAAAATATTTAAAAATATAATGTTTTTACTAAACTGATCGAAAAAAATGAAAAAACTATAAAAAGTACATTCGGGGTACATTCGGCATTTACAAATGCCGAAGCTACCCCGGGTTGGGGCACGATCGGCGAATTTGACTTTTTTTACAAAACTGTAAAATTTTTTAACTAATACTATTTTTTACATCTTTTTGGTACTATTTTTTATAATTAAGTGTCCGAGGACAATAATCAGCCATAAAGTAGTTATATATGTTGAGTAAGTACTGAGATATAGAGCTCTAAAAAAAGTGCCGAAGGTGCCCCAGTCTCCCCTAATAAGGTATTGAAAAAAAAAACTTGAAAATATGGTTTTACTCAAAGTTGCTCCCAAGATTCTTATTGTGTGGTGAAGGGCACAAAAAATATTTTTTCCAAAATTAAAAAAACAACCATTTTTATTATATACCCTAAAGGGTTTCACGTTCACACACACACACACTTCGGCAGACAGTCAGCAAAAGAAAAGGTTCATTAAACTTTCTCGTCGCAGCAAATGCTTTCCAGATGAGTACGTCGCTGATTCTTTTCTGCTTCTTCTTCTAATTATTCTTTATAAAAAAAAACAGTTTGACGATTTGATTTAAAAACCAGTTTTTATTTTGGAAATAAAATAGAAATTAGGTATTCATCGCCAATGATGATGATGATAAAGCCTTTTTTGCCAATCTAATACCAGATGATTGATGATGCTAAAAATTTGGTATAGAAAGGGCAACAACAACAAAACAAAATCAAAAAATAGCCTGAGCAGGCATGGTATATTTTTGATTTCACTTCTATTTGGTTGATATCACAAAAAGCTAAGGCTTAAGCAATTCCAAATTGGCTCTAATTTGATATTTTGGGTTTTCATGGGGTGGTAAAAACGACCTGCCAAAAATTATCAACATAGGTCCAAGTTTCGGGGTAGCTCCCATATAAAGGTACCCCTTAATTTTCGAATTTTTTACATTTTCACTCTGAATTTTCAACAGAATTAGCTGTAATCTGATATTAATATCGGTCCACGTTTTCGAATAGTCTCCATATATGTTAACCTCAAAATTTAAAGATTTAATATACGTTTTTTAAACGAATTTATTATAATTCGACATTTTGGGCTCCCATGTGGTGACAAATCTTCACGCCAAAAATTATCAATATCGGTCCATGTATTGATATAGCCCCCATATAACCTCACCTAAAAATTTTAAGATTTCATACAATTTTCTTAACCGAATTGGCTGTAATTTCATATTTTCGCTTCTTATTGTTTGACAAATCTTCACACCAAAAAGTATCAATATCGGTCCACGTTTTCGTATAGCTTAGACTCGATATAAGGCCCAACATTGAAGTAAAAATCCTAAATACATATTTCGAAATTTAGGGAACTATTCAAAAAAGTTTATTACCTGATATTGGTTTTGTACCTAATGCTCTTTATTTATTATCCTACCTATGTATATTCCTTTAACGGTGGAATTACAACTTCGGTCAGCTAATAGATCCCCCAGCCATAGAATATAGTTCAGTCTTAGTGGAAGTGTCGGTATAAGGCTTCCCGGTGCAAATTCAACATCTAGTTTGAAGTACTCTAACAACAGAGTTTTTGTGAGTGCCCTTAATGCCTGCTCATTCCTTGGATAATCAAACTTCTTGTTTTGAGTAGAAAAAGCTTAAGTTTTTTTTAACTTACCAACTTGCAGGCAATTATTTCGTATTTCAGTATTCATTTATTAATAAATTTAATCAATAACTTTATAATTATTTCCAAACCAAGCGCGGACCATTTTTTTATTCCAATTGGAGCGTTCCTTTTAATTACAATGTCGCTTTTTAAAGTTTTGACGGCGTTACGGAATTAGACGAAATAGCATTAAAACGTATTTGATAAAAGCCAGAATCAAAACAAACAAAGATTAGTATTAGTCTCTTAGGTCGCAAATTGGACCGAATAGGGGAATAAAAACAAATGAAGCGAAGATAACAGGGTTGCTTTAAGTCAAAACAATGAACTGGGCAAAGAACAGGGTGGTTCAGAGATTGTGATAATGAATTTAATAATGATATAGGCTATTGGTCTGTTCCCGTACTGCAAGAATCTACTATTTTTTACTACGATAAAACACATAAAATGCAACAAATTAAAAATTTGGAACAGAAGAAACACTGAAAAAAATGCAAAATCGGCAAACAAATCATGATTTGTTTGAACAAAAATAACAACAACAACTCTAGGTGCATATCATCAAAACAAAATATCATATGTTTTGATGTGTTTGGTGGCGATTAGTTGTGACGTAACGTAACGTAGACATATTTGCATAGATAAAATCAAGCATAATTCTAATAATAGTTCCGTTTGCAACTTCTTACTCGAAAACCGTTCCTCAACCCATACTTTGTTACTGAACTTTTTTATAAAAAATATATATCATAGCCTATTTATAAAGATGAACATTACTAGTTCCAAATCTTTCGTTCATATAGCACCTTTTCCTCGAGGTCTATTAATAAAGTCATTGAGAAAGCAAAAAAAATCTCAAAAATTTGAAGTCAATTCACCATATTGAATCTTGATAGAAAACACATGAAAATCAGCTGATGTTCTAGATGACTTTACTGGACTTGGACTGGAACAAATTTGTATTACTTTAGAAATCCAAGCCTAGTGTGAGGCTTAGAAAAATATTAATTTATAAATTCAGGCCTTCTGTGGAACCTAACAAAAATATTCATTTAAAAATGCACACATTGTGCCATAACTTACTTACTTAGCTGGCTTGTTACAGAACGGTTGTTCCATAAGCTGAGCTTAAAAAAGATTTCCAAAAGCGTCGATTTCCGCGAGCATCTTGCTTAGCCCTTAAGGGGTAAACAGAATGTTCGCGTTGATCGTTTTTTGTTATCGCGATAACGCACGCAAAAAGTTAAAATATATTTAACTCCGAAGCGTAGAGCATATCAACTTCGAGCGTTTGTTTTATCGTTTCCTTTTGATTGTTGTATTTTCAATAACACATAACGCAACGGATGGCTCAACGCGAGCATTCTGCTGAGCCCTTTCAAGGGATCTATTCTTTTAAAAAACCAGGCCTTAAATAACATTATTCACGAAATCAAGGCCTTGTAAAGTCTTCTTTCAAAAATCCAGGCCTTGTGTGGAGCCTTAGAAAATTTTTTTTCAAAAATTCTAGGCCTTTTACTTAATTTATGTATAATTTATATATTTCTTCTAAAAGAACAACAAAAAAAACACAACCCTGACTTTATTTGGTTTACGTTCACTGTTATCGATAACTATCGATAGTCATTTTGACACAAGAGTTGTATTTCTCTGACACAGACACAACAACTCTGTATGAACGCCGCCATTTTGCCCTTTTATTTTCTCTCTTCCTTTTTTTGCGTCAATCAGAAGAAAAAATTTCACACGATTGAATCGTAGAATTTATAAAGAAAATTTACCACAAAATATTGGAAAAGTGTTAGAGGGAATAACAAAAGAAAGTTTCATTTTGTTTAAATTAACAAAAAATAGTGGATGTAATAGAATTAAACAATAAAAAAGAAGAAAAAATCACTACTATGAAATACCGAAAAATTGTGCCGTAGTCGTGAACGAACAAAACGAACGAACGAGTGCAGTAGTAGTGTGAAGAAGAAGAAGAAAGAAAGGACGGGAAAAAAAAATCAAGTGCTTTGCTTTACTTTTTTTTTGGTAGTGAGACACCACCGACCGACCAAGCAACCAACCAACATCGTCTTGGCTTGGTGAGGCTGTCTGCCTGCCGCTGCTGCTGTGTTTCTGTTTCTAACGCCGACGAGGCAATCTAATAAATCAAGAACAAAAAAAATGGAAACTGTAGTAGCTTTTAATAATGAGGTGAGTTACAAACAAAAAAATTATTACGATGGAATTACCTCCGAAGTGTAGTTTTGGGAATTACATAAAATGCTTGTATGTCTATCTCTCCATTATCACAGAGATATGTAGTTATACCAAGTAATGCAAAACTGTCCACGTTTATTCCGGAATATTTTGTGTGAGAGCGTGTGTTTTTTGTGGGCTATTAAATCCTTAGATATTCCCATTCAAAATAAATTATGTTTTCTTTAGAATAAATTTGACCAGAGACGGCTGTGATTTCCAAAATTTTGTTATTCCTCAATGGAACTGAATTGAAACGCCGCCTTGAATTGGTGTATTTAATACTATTGTTAGAACAACTCTCTCTCCCTCTCAGTTAAAAACCCACAATTTTTGTTGCATACCTGCAGGCGTTAATTTTAACCCTGAAATTAATAGGTCATTTCAGGTAGAAGTGGGTTAACTAAAGAACTACATATTGCCAAGTGAAATAAAAAAAATATAATAATACTTTGTAATTGTAATACAAATGAGGAATTATTAAAAAAATGTGAGATTCCCAAAACCCCGTTTTTTGAATTTTACCCATAGTCGTTGTTTGGCAACCCAGCAAATAAACAAAACCTATTCAATCACTTCAAAATATTTATTTTTGTTCTAACATTTTTTGTTTAAAAAAATATTTTTTAACTAAAAAACTTGATTTTATTACAAAATTGTTAAAAAATTTAATTTTTTTTATTAAACAAATTTAATTTTTTTAACATAAAAATTTTCATTTTATAATTTTTTTTATTTAAAAAAAAAATATTTTTTACAAAAAAAAAAATAATTTTTTACAAAAAAAAATATCTAAAAAAGGTTGTTTATTAATAATATTAATTTTTACAAAAAAAAAAAATTAATTAATTTTAGTTTTTACCAAAACTTTTTGTTTTTACTAAAAATTGTATTTAAAAAAATATTTTTCTAAAAATTTTATTTTCTGTACCAAAAAACTGATATTTTCTTTTCTCTACTTTCAGCTTTCGGGTCTCTATGAAGGCAAACCACCCATATCAAAAGCCAAAATGGCCTCCATAACCCGATCGGCCATGAAGGCAATCAAATTTTACAAACACGTTGTCCAAAGTGTTGAAAAATTCATTTTGAAATGTAAACCCGAGTACAAGGTACCCGGCCTGTATGTCATCGATTCCATTGTCCGTCAATCTCGTCATCAATTTGGTCCGGAAAAAGATGTATTCGCACCCCGTTTTGCTCGCAACATGAAGGAGACATTTGCCAATTTGTTTCGTTGTGCACCCGAAGACAAGAGTCGTATTATACGCGTACTCAATTTATGGCAAAAGAATAATGTCTTTGCACCTGAGGTAATACAGCCGATATTTGATTTGGCCGATCCCAGTCATCCCATTTACTCAATGCCACCGGCTTCGGGTTCAGGTGGTGGTGGAATGGCCAGTTCTTCGGCTGCGGATGGTTCGCAGGCAAATGGTATGAATACATCAAGTGGTTCAATGGATGTTAGCATGAGTGGTGGTGGAGCTGGACAAAGCGCAGGAGATGATAAAATGGCTGGTACATCTGGTGGATTGGCCGATTTATCGGTAAGTAAATTATGTTGATTGTTAGGTTTTGAAAAAAGAAAATGTTATTGAAAAATGAAATTCGTAATGCGGTAATGTTAGTTAAGAATGTTGATTGCTCACCACAAGAATTTCGAAGCAAGTCCCAGTTTATGTTCTTTATAACGAATAACGCGTATAGCGATCAAGTTCACCGTCATGATAACATCTTACGAAATTAATTTTCGGAATCTTAAAATGTAATAACTTGTTGTCAAAATAATTTTTTGATAGACTCTGTAGATAAATTAATTTTACCACCATCTATACAAAGTATCTATTTCATCATATTTTATATAACATTTTTCTATTACTGCTTACCATATTTGGAATATAAAATATCTAGTCTGTAAGTCCACATGAAAGAGCTCGCAAACAACAACAGCTGATGGCAATGGAACATAACAAACAACATAGCAAACGTTCAAATATTGCTGCTGCCGCTGCTGGTGGTGGTGGCAATAGTTCAACAGTCAACAACATGTCATCCGCCGTCGCATCCACATCCTCCAAATCGCGTGAACATTCCAAATCAGCATTGGAATCTTCGATTAAAATACATCATCCCGAAACCTATAACAAATATCAACGCAATTCACATGACTATGATGACACTCATCATATGGTGGATGATGACGACGACGATGATGCCAGTAGTGTGGAATGTGAAGCGGCGAAAAACAAAAATTCAAATAGTCTTTTGGATGTAATTAATCCCACACAAGATTCTCTCTCTCTCTATGATATTATTTTTCTGTTTTTATCTTAAACAGATGATTTTTTTATTGTTTTTCTTCTTAGTTTATAATTTTTCCCATTTAATCACACACCCCACAAACAATGCTATTTCATCAAATTTCATCCTGCATTCTCGAATTGTTGCCTCAACTCAGTAGCTCAGTCCTACTTTGATAGGTCCGTTGATCTAAAGGCTAATGAAATGATATTGGAAGTTTTAATAGATGAGCTATTTTTGTATAAACCTAATTTCTCGTGTACTTTTACAAGACATATATTTACTCCTGAAGGTCATAGATCCGAGAAGTTAATGGTATATCCTAGAAAATTGGTTGACCTTTAAATTGATACCAATTATATTGTATGTAGTCGGATGTGGGAGTTACACGTAAATATTTACAGGCGCTTACGTATTCAGATATTATTTAGTAACCCGTATAACTTTCGGTGATGTTCAGATTATAATTATGGGATGAAGTGGACCGAATACTTAATTTGTTTGTGTTTTTTCAAGTCGATGCCAATAATAAGCCAAACATCACAACACAACCCATGGTGAAGGGAATCTGGACAATTAATCAGAAGGGCTGTACTGAATACGAGTGATATTCGTAAAATATGTCAGTGTAAGGAAGTGGTGCTGTTGACCTCTAATCGGGATAGAGGGAGCAAATAGCACGAAATATTGTCCAAGCTCGGAATAAAAATCCGCAGAAAGTTGGAGTTCCGTGGTAGTTGTGTAGGGTATCGTATGGCCCCGTTCGACTCACTGTTTTTTTTGCGTGTTTGGTATTTATGGAAATAAAGTGAAGAAGAGTCAGTCCAATCTTTCACATTCTCCAGTTCGCTGTTCTTGTTTCTCCGTTACATCCTGACCCCTTATTTTCGTAATTTTTATTATGTTACACACTTTTTAACCGAATTGTCTGTAATTTGATGTTTTGGATTATCATTGAATGGAAAATCTTCCTACCAAAAATTATCAATATCGGTCCACGTTTTCGTATAGCCCCCATACAACTGTCCGCCAAAATTTTCGATATTTTTATGTTTTAATCATATCATTTTCAATCGAATTAGCTGTAATTTGATATTTTGGCTTCTCATGGGGTGACTAATCTTCCTATCAAAAATTATCAATATCGGCCCCCATTTTGGCATATGCCCCATATTACCGTACCCCCTATTTTCGTTATTTTTAAAATGTCAAACAATTGTTTTAACCGAATTGGCTCTAAATATGAAAATTTAGATACTCATTGGGTGGCAAATTATTCTACCAAAAATGATCAAAATCGGTCCACATTTTGGTATGTCTCCCATATAAAAGTATCCCTTCAAGATTTTTAAATTTTCAAACTCGGGTTTTAGTCGAATTGGCTGTAATTTGATATATTGAGATCTCATTGTATGGAAAGTCTTCCTACCAAAAATTATCAATATTGCTTCAATTTTAAGGGTAGCTCCTATATAACAAAACCTCAAAATTTTCGATATTTAAGATTTCGATATTGGAGATTTTGGGCACAATTCTTAACCGAATAAGCTATAATTTGTTGTTAAGGGTACTTATCATCCTACCAAAAATTATCAATATCGGTCCACTTTTAAGATTATCCTCCATATAACGGTACCTCCCAAATTTCGATATTTTGGAGATTTTGTTTACAATTCTTAAGCGAATTGACTGTTATTTAACATATAGGGTTGCCATTGGGTGGCAATTTGTCCTACCAAAAATTATGAATATTGCTTCACTTTTAGAGTAGCTCCTCCCATATAAAATAGTACCCCCAAATTTCGATATTTTCGGAATTTTGTATACGTTTTTTAACCGAAAAGGCTGGGTGGATGGAGGGCATAAAAATGTTTGATCCGGCCGAATAATGACTTGTTTTATTTTTTTAATTTAAACTATTAGAATTGTTATTTTAAATATTAAAAATTATTTTTTTATATTTTAATATTTTTATTTTTTTCTTTTAATATTTTTATTATTTAAAGGGATTATTTTTTTTCTCAATTCCCATAATTTGTTTTTAATTTATTTTTGTACTTTTTTTTTAATTACTAAAATTTATATTTTTCCAACTTTTTTTCCTCCTTTTACAGAACAACAATTTGAAACAATTGCTAAATGATCCCAATGTGCTAAGACAATTGCAAACATTGCAAAATTTTACAAAATTCAAACAAGACGATAAGCAGCATAATTTACGCATGCAAGAGGAAGCATTTGAAAAACATTTACAAAATGTTCTGAAGGTAAGTTTAGAAAACTCCATTTTCTCTCTCCCTCTCTCTCTCACACAGTGCTGTTTATTAAAAAAATAAAAAAATTTAAATATTTTTATAATAATTATTTAAAATTGTGTCTTTTTATTTGTAATTCCAGGGCTCTGCCGCTGCTGGACCATCATCCAATCAAGAGTCCAAAGAAGTGGAATTTGTTTCTGAGGAGGGCATTGAGGTATGTACCCCCTACCACATCATATGCTATATATTTGTTTCGTCACTTGGAAAATATATACAAAATACAGTTAAATATGGCACTCAATTTTATAATGGATTCTCGTATGAAAAAAAATCAATTTGAATTGAAATTAACATTAAAATCGAAAAAAAAGGATTTTGAGATTTTCATATATATATATATATTACTCCTCGGATAAATCATTCAACATTATGATATAGACCCCATAGAACGGTACCCCCCAAATTTTGCTATTTTGGGTGAAGATTTCAATCAAATTGCCTGGAATTTTATATTTTTCAGTTCTCATTGTGTAGAAAATCTTCCTACCCAATATAATCAATATCAGTCCACATTTAGGGGTAGCCCCCATATAACGGTATCTCAGAAATTTCGATATTTTGGAGATTTTGTGTACAATTCTTAAGCGAATTGGCACGTAACCGAATAAGCTATAATTTGTTGTAAAGAGTTATCATCCCACCAAAAATTATCAATATCGAATTTGTTGTAATTTGATATTTTGGGTTCTGCTTGGGTGGCAAATTAGCCTACCAAAAATTATTAATATAGGTCCACTTTTAAGGGGTAGCCCCCTATAACGGTACCTCCCAAATTTCGATATTTTAAAGATTTTGTGCACAATTCTTAACCGAATTGGATCCTATCAAAAATTATCGATATCGATGTACCCATATTACGCTACCTCCTAAATTTCTTTATTTTAGGGGTTTTGGGCTCGTTTCGTAACGGAATTAGCTATAATTTGCTGTGAAGGATTGTTATTGGGTGAGATATCATCCTACCAAAAATTATCAATATCGGTCCACTTTTAGGGGTAGCCCCCATATAACGGTACCTCTCAAATTTCGGTATTTTATAGATTTTGGACTCGATTCATAATCGAGTTGACTGTAAATTGATATTTTGGGTTCTATTTGGGTGGCAAGTTAGCCTACCAAAAATTATCAATATCGGTACACTTTTAAAGAGTAGCCCCCATAAACGGAACCTCCCAAATTTCGATGTTTTGGAGATTTTGTAGACAATTCTTAAGCGAATTGGTTGAAATTGAATGTTTTGGATACCAATTGGCTGGCAAATGATCCTACCAAAAAATATCAATATCTATGCCCTTTTAGACGTTATAAGGGGGCTACCCTCCCTTATAACGTCACCTTCGTTGTTTTGAAGATTTTGGACACGTTTCTTAACGGAATCAATCTTAAGCTAGAAACCATATTTAACTGTATGTATATATTTTACATTTTAATTTTTCTATATTTTCTCAAGTGAACTTAAAAAAGTCGTTCTATATTTCAAAATTATATTCCTGAAAATGTTTTTTTTTTTAAGTTCACTTGTTTTATTGTTTTTATATAAAAAAAATAATCCATATATTTACACGATAAATGGAAATTGTTACTGAACTGTCTAAATGATAAAAATAAATAAAAAATTGAATTAAATTTGAAAAAAAAATATTATTATCTTAACCCAGTAACAATCTCCGGTTATCTGTGCTCTGCTGGCGTGCAGTTTTGTAAATGTGTTAGCTATAATACAAAAAAGCAAAGAGAGAAAACGAATCAAATAGAAGAAGAAAAAGGGACAAAAATTGTTGTTTATACATTTTGAAAATACCAAAAAGAAAAGGAAGAAGCTTCCAACCAACCAACCACCTAGCAAAAATAAAAACACAATTTTTAGGAGATATTTCGAAAAATTAAAAATATTATGGTTAAATTAAGGACAAGCAAAAAAGGCCAAAAAAATAACCCATAATGCAGTTGTTGAGAATACCTATCAAAAAAAACGTTCCTAAATCCAAGGAATCTTCGAACAGTTAGCAGAACTTTTTTTAAGTCCCCAAAAAGAAAACATTCAATACAATTTATGCTAAAATATTTAAAAATATATGTATGTAATACGGCGACGGAATTTCACAAAAAAAAGAACAAAAAAAATTATAATCCCCCAAAGGTAAGGCTAAGAAGAAGAAATTCCGTGGGATCGATATGAAGGTTTGCATAGAGACAGTCTGGTAAGTTTCAAAAATCAAAACAAACAATAAATTATGAATTGATATATCATCAATATCGAAAAAAAAAAAATCTTACAAAAATTACAAGAAGAAGCATAAGAACATGATGAAGAAAAGCCAAATGCCATATTTGTTTAAGAAAAAATCACTCAAAACAATTAAAAAATAGAGGGTTATAAATCTATTTACATAAAAATGCCATGTATCATAGAGTAATAAAGGAAGAAGAAAAACAAGCACACACGTCAACAACGCCGAACAACGCGCCTAACGTCTTTCAAAAGCGACATGCCTAGGCCAACAACAAATGTAGTTGGTCCTCTCCTTACGTTCGTTCGTTCGTTTTCTACAGCAGCATTTGAACCCCAAACTCCCACTTTCCCACTCCCAAAATCTTTCCCTTCCTACCTACCACCCCACTTTCCCAACTCCTCCTTTTTCTCTTTATTTTTTTTTTTTTACAAAAAAAAAAAAAAAAAAAGCTCAACAAACAAAATTATTTTTATTATTCGTTTTGCGTAATTTGTTTAACATTTTTTTCAACCCCCCCAACAATTTAGGTTATCAACCTGGATGGCAATGATTCACGTAGTCCCACGCCCGATCGTGACCGTTACAAGAGACGTCGCAGTCGTAGTCGCAGCCGTTCTCGTTCCAGGGATCGTGGTGGTCGTGGCCGTGGCCGTCGTGGCGGCAGTCGTTCCCGTTCGCGCAGTCGTTCGCCACGCTCGAATAGACGACGCACCTCAAGGGATCGTGAACGCAGCAATCGTGACAAGGAAAAGGATCGTGAACATGAACGTGAACGCCGCAAAAAGGGTCTTCCGGATATCAAAAAGGAACATTTAAGCGGTAAATTTCCCATACCTTTAAAATATATTAATTTTCCCCCTCCTTCTCTCTCTCTTTTCAGCTGCTATGGTTTTGGTGGTGGTGGGGGAGGTACAAAACCAAAGATTTTCAAAACCCAAGTTAAGAGAAAACAGGACGCTCGAGAAATTTTTTGGAACCATTTGAAAATCTATGGTTTTGTTGTTGTGAGGCCACAAAAGGCAAACATCTATTGTTTCACTTTTTCAATGGCCATCGATCGATCGATCCTCAAACACCACCATCCTCGTTTCTTCATTGCTGCTCCTCTACATTTACAAACACTTGGTGCTGCAAACAAAATTCTTGCAATTTATTTGAATAAATTGAAAATCAAAACGGCCACCAGGAGACTGTAAATGTATTGGGGCATCATTAGAGGAGGTGGATGGTGGTTTTGGAATTGAAATCGTTACTTGTGCCAGCCTCAACTAACGAAGAATACCAACCCCATCCATCCATCCTTCCACCCATTCTTTCCTAACTTAATCATATTTAATATTTTTCGCTCTTCTTTTCTATTCCAGTCTGTTGTGAGAGTGATTGGGCTCTGGAAAATTACGTGTATTCTCGTCGTATTCGTCAACTTGATTATTCCTGCTTGCTTGTAGAGAAAAACTAAAAATTTTAGTTTTTTACTACAACACATCAAACGAACGTGTCGTCGTATAGGTGTGCGTGCGTGCGTCTTTGTGTTTTGGGTTGTTGTTGTGTTGTGTTGTTTTTTTTTTATTATGCAACATTGAGAATGGCATTTGGTTTTTCGGATTTCGTCAGCTTCTTCTTTATATCTCTTGTGAGGGAGGTTTCAAATAGCTATCACAAAAAAAAATATTTTGTATATGGCGGCTTTTCATCGTCCATCCTCCGTCCATACTTCGAAGAAGAAAACTCTCGGAGATGCGAATTTTTACGATCCCCTACACGAGTAGGGGAATAATAATATCGCTATTAATACAAATATCGTAAAATATATCTCATTTCAAAAATTTTTTACAATGTAAAATTCCCATTTACGATATTTGAAGAATGTAAATTTCCTATTTACGATATTTGGATAATGTAAATAGCATATTTACGATATTAAAATAAAGTAAATAGGATATTTATGATATTAAAATAAAATATCCTATTTACGATATTAAAATAAAGTAAATATCCTATATACGAAATTAAAATAACGTAATTATAATATTTACGATATTTGAACAATGTAGATGTCCTATTTACAATATTTGGATAATGTAGATATCCTTTTTACGACATTTGGATAATGTAGATATCCTATTTACGACATTTGGATAATAAATAGGTTATTTACGATATAAAATAACGTAAATATCTTATTTTTGAGACTAAAATAACGTAAATATATTATTTACGATATTCGAATAAGGTAGATATTCTATGTACGATATTTGGATAATGTAAATATGGCCTATTTACGGTATTAAATTAACTTAAATATCATAATTACGATATTTTGGTAATGTAAATATTGTATTTACGATATTATTAAAAATACCTGTAATCAACATATTTACGATATTAAAATAACGCAGATATGATTTTTACCATATTTGGATAAGGCAATGTAAATAGCCCATTTACGATATTTGAAAAATGAAAATATCCTGTTTACGATATTAAGGCCACATAAATACAATACTTTCGATATTAAAATAACGTACATATCCTATTTAGAACGTAAACTTTCTATTCGATATTGTCCTATTTACGGTATTAGATTAACGTAAATGCAATTTTTACGATATTTTGATAGTTACGATATTTGAATAACGTAAAAATAATAGTTACGATGTTTAAATAACGTAAAAATTATAGTTACGATGTTTAAATAATAAAAATTTAAATAAACGTAAACATAATAATTACGATATTTGAATATAGTAAAAAAATATTTACGATATTTGAAGGTAAATATAATATTTACCATGTTGTTAGATAGTTGGATAGCGTAAAATTTATTAAACTCAACATCGATATGAATATCGTAAATATTTTATGTACAAAATATTTAAATAACATTTACGATATTGGGATAATGTTAATAAATTGTACCGTAAATCAATTATTTATGGTGTTTGAAAGTGTTTACGATATTTCAATGACGAAAATAAATATTTAGTATTTGAGTAAAATAAATCATTTTTTACGATATTTAAAAAAACCTAAATAGATTATAACATAAAAAATAAAACTTTTACGGGATTTCAAGTCTGGAAAACTACAACAACAGGCAGCGGGGAAATAGACAGACAACAGATGACATGTTACGCCCTGCACGTTATTTTCCAGAGTACACACATACATACATAAAATTATGCATACAAATTTCTATTTTTATTCTCGATATACCTGCCGAACATTTTCTAATTTCCTTAAGTTGTTGTTGTTGCTTCTTCTCATTCGCAGTTTGCAGTACAACTCTCTGGGTTGGTCACCTCTCCAAATTGGTCTATCAAGAGGAATTATCCGATACCTTCGGCGAATATGGTGACATCGTGAGCATCGATCAAATTGTACCGCGCGGTTGTGCATTCATCGTAATGAATCGACGCCAGGACGCATACAAGGCTATGCAATGCCTGAAGAATCACAAATTACAGGGACGAGCCATAACCATTTCATGGGCCGCCGGCAAGGGCGTCAAGTCCAAGGAATGGAAAGACTTTTGGGATTTGGAATTGGGTGTGACCTATATACCATGGAACAAATTGGACGAGAATACCGATTTCGATGCCCTGGAGGAGGGTGGTATGTTCGATGAAGATTCCATGCCGCCATGGATGAAGGAGAAGAAGCAGACATTGAAAAATCTCCAGGACAAGGCTAAGGAGTCGGCGGCGTCAGCAATCGCCGGTATTAATTTGCCGGGTGCCCCGAATATTCCACCACCAGGTGGCAATCCGCCGTTGTTGTTTAAAATCGATACGACTCAGCCGCCACCGGGCCCCCCACCAACCGGTGCCCCGCCACCAATGATGCCAATGGTGCCGGGTCAGTTTTCGATGGCTCCACCGCGCATGATGGGGGCTCCGCATATGGGTATGCCCATATCGGGATTGCATATGCCACCGAATATGGTGCCACCGCATGCAGCAATGATGATGATGCCTGGTTTCGGCATGCCAGGTCAGGTTCCACCAACTGGTGGACCACCTCCAATGGGACCGCCTCACCATATGCCACCCATGGGAGCGCCTCCCCAACACCGACATCCCGCACAATATCCGCCACCAATGGGCGCAGCCCCACCCGCTGCGCCCTTGCCAGCTGCCAATGTTTCCAGTGACGATCAAATGGACATTGAAATGGAAGATGAAGAGGGTGCCACAACCGCAGACTCGGCGACGGCGGCAGCACCACCTGCCATGAACTTTAATCAGCCACCACCGGCATTTGGTGGTGGTAATGATAATGCCACAGGAGCAACTGATAACTTTGGACGTGATCGTAATCGTGGTGGTGGCGGCAACAATGGTCCTGGCGGCGGCGGCGGGGCATCAAGATGGGGTGGTGGACGTGATGATGACGGTAAAAAAGATGGTGGTGGAAGATGGCGTGAAAATGGTGCTGGCGGCGGTCCGCCACAACATTTTGGTGATGGTGGCGGTGGACGCAATAGACCAGATTTTATGAATGGTAAGTTTGGCAATCAGTTTCCCCTCCCCCCTCATTTTTATAATTTTTTGCAACCATTTTTTTAACTAGAATTCGATAATAGAGGCGGACCACGTGGTCCTCCCGGTGGTGGAGGAAACTACAATGGTGGCGGCGGTGATTTCCATCCCAATATGCAAAACCGTTTCAACCAGCCCAACAATATGATGCAGATGCGCATTCCTCCACCGAATGCATTTAATCAAAGAGGAGGAGGAGGACCACCTATGTTTATGCGAGGTCAGGGCGGTGGACCAGGCGGACCCCCGGGAGGTGTACGTCAACAGGGTCCGGGTAAGTTCGAAACTTCTAAAATTTGTGGCAGTCAATGGCAATTTAATCTTGTTCTTGCAGGCTTCTTCAATAGAAACAATGCCTTCGATCGTGGTGGTGGTGGCGGCGGTGGTGATATGGCTGGAGGCTTCGGCGGAGGCCGTGGTGGTCGAGGAGGTCGTGGTGGCCGTGGTGGTGGCGCCATGGGCGGTCGTGGAGGTGGTGCCATGGGAGGCAGAGATGGTGGAGGTCCCAACTGGAGTGATGAAGAAGGCGATGACAACGGCTTCAAGCGCCGTGGAGGCGGCGGTAATCGTTTCCGGGATCGGGACGATATGCGTGATCGCGGTGGTCGTGGCGGTCGAGGTGGTCCGGGCGGCTCTGGTGGTCGAGATAGAGACAGAGATGGTGGTCGTGACCGCGACCGTGAGAGAGATCGTGACAGCCGCAGCAAGAGCCGGGGTGTTTCTCAGGAGAGCAGCCGTCGAGTATCGCGAGATGACCGGAAAACATCAAAACCATCCATCAGCGACACCGAAGAGGATTGGGACAAAGAATTGGACGATTTTGAGGGAAAGAACACTAAAAAGGCAGCGGCGGGGGCGGCGAATGAAACCAATAGCCGACGAAATTCCAACTCCAAGGATGACGACAAAAACAGTGAACGCAGCAGCAATAACGCCAAGGCGACAGGAGGCGACAAAAATAAGTTTTCCAAATATGATGACAAAGATAATCGGCGCAGCAAATCGCCGCAGGATCAAGAAACACCTATGAAAGTACAAATGGGTAACAAGAAACAGCAAGTCGATCCGGATGAGGAAAACTGGGACGATGATGAGGATGACAATCGCCCATTACCAGCGGCGGCGACAGAACAAAAAAGCGATTCACCGCCGCCACCGTCGTCTGCTTCACAATCGACGCCAATGACGCAACAGCTGTATGAGGCTGCTGAGAAAAGGGATGATAACAGCAGCAGCAATATGAGTAGTAGTGGTGGTACTGCACCTCCACCCTCCTCCACAACATTTGTGGCAAGGGAAGAAGCAAAACAAGCATCACCGCCACCAACAGCGTCAGCACCGTCAGTCGGTGTTGCTGAAACACCTGCGAAATTGCCTGAAGCTGCTTCATCAGATCAATCGGTTGCTGCCGAATCAAAACCGGAAACACCCGCCGCAGCATCATCGGAGTCAAATAAAGAAGGCGACGAAGGAGCTGCAACCGCTACCACAGACAACTAATTTGTTGGTGGAATTGGTGTGACCGCAACAACAACAACAAATATGCGAGATTTTAAAACTGTATATTATTATTTTACGCATTGTAAGTATGAAGACGGACGGACGGATAACGAAATAGAAGAGATTGGTGTTTGATGTGACAGATGAAAGCACACACACACACACACAAATGCCTACAACAAGAAATACATACATAGGTACTAACTTTAATTTAGAGCAAGGTGTCGAGTCGTCCGTTCGTTCGTTCGTTCATTATCAACAACAACAAACGAAATGAATACATACACACATATATCTATATATACAATAGAGATAACTTTTTTAAGAGTTTCTTTTTTTAATACTACAAAATCTTGTAGATTTATAATTTATAAATTTTTCCATTTTTTAGTCCGAATATGATAATTTAAATTTTTTTATTGTGTTTGTATCGACACAGAAGATACAAAAAAATGCCACGAGAAAAATATGCCGCCATGACATGATGTGCAGCATGGTTTTGTTTTTCTCCGGATAAAATGTGTTGGAATTCATTTAGCTGATTTTGTTTCAGCTGCTTTGCCTGCCACCACCAACCAGCCTACATCGTCTTTTCGACCCAAAAGGTTCTCAAAATTTATCAAATTGCAATTGCTGGTTTATGAATGAGAAACAATACAAAATATATTAAGAAAATTTCAAAACTCAACTCAAATCAACTGAGGCAAACAAAATAGAAGTAAATATCAATACTAACACATTGGTTTTAGTTTTTTTTTCGTTTCTGTTTTATTTAAGAGACCGACCCCCCAATATCCATTAAAGTAAATTCCTTATTCAATTTTTACTTAACCTTACCTTACCACCATTATGCATATTTAATTCATTATTTAACTCTCTCTCGCTCTCCCATAATGAATGCAGAGAATATATAAAGATTTTGGAAGATATGCAAATAAATTACATTTAAACAAAACAAAATAACAAAAAAAAATCGCGTCAACAACATTGAGAATTGGTTATTCACAATTAAAATTAAAGAACAAAAACAAATCAACAACACTTTAATATAAATATTGTAACAATTAATAAAATAAATAAAAAACAAATAAAAGTCGTATAGAAAAATAATTGTTTTTTTATATTTTGTTGTTAGATGTTTAGTATAAAACTCCATGGTATTGTGTCAATGTGGACTTTCGGTAGACCATTAAAAAAACCTTTCCTTTGGATGGATATTTTAATAATTCACGCCTTTGGGTGCATGTTTAAAAATATTTTTAAGAAAACGACGCCTTTGAGTGGATATTTAAAAAATCTTTTCCGTATATAAAATGTCCTTCAGAACGGTTGTTCCATAAGCCGAGCTTAAAAAAGATTTCCAAGCGAGTCGGTCTTGTGCGCATCTCCTCCAAGTTGAAAGAAAACGTTCCAAGATGTTGTTCTCTACTAGGTCTTTCCATCTAATTCGTGGCCTTCGCCTCTACGGGAACCTACAGTAGGCTCGCTTTTATATACCTTTTGAGCTGGGGCATTCTCATTCATTCTCACAACATGGCCTAGCCACCATAGTCGCTGCAGCTCATTTTTTCTCTCAAACACTCCAAGAGCTGCCTCATCTGCTTGCGTAAGTACCCATGCTTCAGATCCATATAACACCACGGGTAGTATCAGCGTCTTGTAAAGTGTGAGTTTGGTCTAGCGGAAGGTGGCCTTGTATCTAAATTGCTTACTTAGATCATAGTAGCATCTGTCGGCCATCACAATCCTTTTCCGAATTTCAAAAGCGATGACATTCGTTTTATTTATGACGTTACCAAGGTATGTATATAAAATTTTTAACTAACTAGAAGTTGTTGTTCTCAAGTTCCACAGTTGGTCCGAGTCTACTGGACGTCTTGCGCGTTGATACCATCAGCTTGGTCTTCTCGCCGTTTACTGCCAGACCCACTTTGGAAGACCCCTTCTCAATTTGTTCAATGATGGCTGTTACGCTCGCAATGTTTGACCTAAAAAATACTCTATTGGACTATAAATACTACCTTCCACTCTCCACATTGTTTCTGATGTCTTCCTTGTCTATATAGACAACCTTGAGATGGTCTATAAAAAGTCCCTTCAGCTCGTCTATAAAGGTTCGCTTGCGGGCGACTATAAAGACTCCCTTCAGCTCGTCCATTAAGACTAACTACAGCTCGTCTATAAAGATTTCGTCCAGCTGGCATTTAAATACTCCCTTCAACTTTTTTCATTAACACAACTCTTATTTTTGGGAATAAGCTGCTTGTCTATAAAGACTTCTTTCAGTCTAAAACGACTACATTCATCTCGTCTTTAAGAACTCCAATCAGGTCGCCAATAACTACTCCATTTAGCTCGTCTAAAAAGCCACATTTTAGATCGTCTATAAAGAATCTACCTAGCTCTATAAAGTCCTCCTTCAACTCGTCTATAAAGACCCCTTTAAGGACGTCTATAAATATACCGCTCCTCTATTAAGACACCCTTCCGTTAGTCCATATAGACCACTTTTAGGTTGTCTATAAATACCCTTCAGGCTGCCTTCAGTTCGTCTATTGAGACTCCCTTCATTTTGTGTATAAATTCTGCCTTCTGTTCGCCTATAGTTCGCCGGTATAGACTCTTTTCAGCTCGTCTATGAAGACTCCCTTCAGCTCGTCTATGAAGACTCCCTTCAGCTCGTCTATAAATACTCGCTTCATCTTTGATTTTTTTCATGACAATAAAATCGATAACTCGATTAGTCCAATTTCGACTTTCATATCTCTAAACGACAATTCCCTGCATGCCCTATTTCTCAACAATATGCTTCGTTCCTACATTTTTTGGTCTATCCTCGCTGAGTTACTTTTTTATCGGGCATTTTCGTTCTCTCTTTCTTCTTCCTATTTGTTGGGTTTGGAACGTTTTTAATTTATCATTTTCAGACGGTCTAGGTACCAACAGCGAAGACCGCGAGCCAACGAAAGCAGCGCTTCATTGTCGTCTACCTGAAAAAGACGAAACGACGAAGAATTAAAAAAGGACAATATTAAATCCCGTTTCTTTTTGCTAATATCAACAGGGATACAAAAATAACAACAACAGCAGCTGTCGCAAAAGGGGGACTAACAATTAAAATAATGGGTAAGTGAACGAAAGAGAGAACGATGATGAATAAATGAATTTGCAAAACAGTCGCCACAAAAGCAGCCTCGAAGTAAGATTTCAGAGGAAAGAAATTCGCACAAAAGCAAACAGACAAACAGCGAACCAAACATCGTATCAATCAGGAAGGATCCATAATGTGGCATATGTTTTGTGGAGTTTCTTCGTCCTCCTCGGCAATGGGAGCTAATTTCAAATCCTATTCCAATTTTACAGATAGACCCAATTACAGCATTGTCAATGGTCGAGCCTTCACCGAGGACAATGTCTTGGTGTACAATATATTCGTCTACAACATTCCGCAGGAGGTAGGTTGTTGTTGTTGGTTGTGTGTGCTGATATTTTGGCGGCACATTTATATCAAAATTGTGAAATTAACCCATTTCCCTTTTTTGTTATTGCTGTTGCTGGTTGGCGGGGCTTTTGTTTTAGACCACCGAGCGTCAAACACTGGAATACTTTAAGTCATTTGGAGAAATTAAAAATGTACGCCTGATAAATGATCGTAAACGCCGCAACAATATTCCGCAACCATTCAAAATTGGATTTGTCAATTTTGTGGATGCCACAGTTGCAGCCAAGTAAGTTTTTTTATTATAAAATTTCATTTTTTTCTCAATTTTTTATTATTTTTCAAAGGGAGGACATGACACACTCTAAAATAGAAATTCGGCATAACTCTAGTTTAGCTAGCTAAAAAAAGATCTGTTGGAGAAAAATACTTTATAGACCAGATCGGAAGAGGGAGTAATTAATAGGGTTCAGGCTAAAAATTAGCTGTAATTTAATATGTTTAATATTTTGGTTGGATAGAAAAATTCCCTGCACAAAAATGATAACGGAAAACCATTTTTCGGAATTTTGGACACTTCAACCGATTTGTCTGTAATTTTTATTTTCAATTCTCATTGGGTAGACAGTCTTTCTGCCAAAAAATGAGGGTAGCATCCATATAGCGGAATCCCCATTATTTTGGATGTTCGGCTAATTTTTCAATCGAATTGATTTTTATTTTGTATTTTATTCAATTCATTCGATAATACTATTTTGAATTTACATACCAAAAATGATCAATATTGACCCAAGATTCGATATAACGGATCAAGGTTCCATATAACGGAAAACCTTTTTTGGCATTTTTGGTTTATTTCTATACCGATTTGGCTGTAATTTAGTACTTTGGATTCTCATCGGCTAGAAAACCTCCCTACCAAAAATGATCAATATTAGTCCATATTTTGACTTAGCCCCCATATAACGGAAAACCCTTTTTCGGAATTTTGAACACATTTTCCAACCGATTTGACTGTAATTTAATATTTTGGTTTCTCATTGGTTATGAATTCTTTCTACCGAAAAATATCAATATTTGGCCAAGTTTCAGGATAGCATCTATATAGCGGAACCCCCATTATTTTGCATGTTCGGCTGATTTTTCAATCGAATTGACTATTATTTAGTATTTTATTATTTGGATTTTGGACAAAGGTTTCAATTGAATAGACGCTAATTTAGTACTTCAGATTCTCAATGGGGTTGACAAATCTTTCGAGCAGAAATGATAATTAATTTTTTCTCCTTATCCTCTTCCATCTTCTCCAGAGTCTTGCTAAACACCACTCATTTTATTAACAAAAAAAGGATACGTGTACGTGCCTGTGATAGCTGGCATCAACCTGATGCTCAGGCCCAATCCCACAACAACAACAAAGACAATGGAAAAGATACCTGTACCGCCAAGAACACACCCGGCGGCGACACAGTCGACGGTGATGCCGACAATACCACTTCCCTACTCCACTTAAACGACGATTGTTTGGAATTAATTTTCCAATATTTGTCAATGAGGGATC